CTGGCTTACTCGTGATAAAATAGATGAGCGCAATGAGTGCGCGAACGCGTAGGAGCGTTACTTTCGCTTCCACGACTGTTGTCTCCTCGATGCGCTCACCACGGGGACACGAACGCATGCGAAACGCCGGCACACTAGCCCCGCATCTCGTTGCAATTCATGGGGAAACAAAGGGAAAAAAGACGCGCACATTCTCTTACTGCGTCTCATTATTTATCTCAAGTTTAATTATTCTCTTCAAGCTACAAATTACATAAGCGACACATGTCGTGTTAAATAATTTCCGCCTTGTCACGTGCCACTGTTGGCAACGTCAGAGCACAGTCGTCTATACGTAGAGGACCAACGCCACAGCAATGCCGTGTACGTGGGGCAATTCATACGTGCATGTCATGTCCTCATTCTCTGGGCGTGCACCCGCGAAAGGAAGGCGGGGGTGGGGGAGGGCAGTGTTGATTTTGAAATTTGACCCATTTCCGCGGCGCCAGCATTGCAAATTTTAGCAGACGCGATCGTGAACACCCCATCTACGCATTGCGCTTGTCAGCTCAAAATTCTCAAGCCTGGTGAGTGGCCCTTTAACAACTAAACGAACAGTGTTACGGTAGACGCCTATGCACGAAAACGGTCGGATTGCTCCATGTGATGTTTCGTGGCCGTATTAACGCGATAGCGTTAAAGAGATCGTTTCGCGGAAGTTTGGGCGTCGTTGGCTGTGAGCGAAAAATTGAGAAAGCTGCAAATAAGATAGATTATAAAAATTTCCCGGCCCGAGCGAGGTTTGAAGCCGGGTCGTTCGCGTTGCAAGCAGGTGCACAGGGCCACGCATCTTTTTTTTTTCTTTCATGCATTCTGTTTCTTAAAATGTGTGTTAGATGGAACGTGAAATAATTCTGATATGTATAGTATGGCTCGTAAGTACGATCACGCAGCGACAATAAGCGCTCTAGCGTTTCTGAGGAAACAGTCGACGATTAAGGAAGTTCAGTAGAGCAGCGAGAGTTCTTTAAATCGCGTTAAGCGGTGAGGCCAAGCACCTCACCGAGATGGCGCACCCTTTCCGGTGTAAGCTCCATTTCATCATAAACGTATTTTAGGTGAACACTCATTCTATAGCATACGGCCGCGTACCTGCTTGGAAATACAGTTAAAGTAATTTCCGCTGCTTGTAAACTGAAAGTGACGTTAATGCTTTACAAACACATGTCCTGTATAAAGGCTTCGTAATACAAACGTGTAATATCACAGTTGTGTTGCGTAGTACAAGCGTACATTGCGATCGGGTGTCAGAACATGTGAATATCGTACCGCGACTTCGTGGTTTAAAGCCAGTCGCCCAATACAAGGGGCATACTGCATGCGACTGCGTAGGGGCTTCATAGCAAGTTTGAAAACATTTAACGCGCATAATTGCTCGTGGTTTAAAGCCTGCCACCCTTCACACATAATGCAGCCATGTGCAAAAGCTTAACTGACACAAACCTCTTTTAACTGCATGAATTACATTGTAGTAATCCACAATGTAAACTTCTCGAGTAACATCATACCATAAAGTATGTACTAAGTGGTTGAAGCACGCACTAGGGACAGGACGTCGCTTTCGAATCCCGCCGCGATGTAGTAGAAGAACAAGAAAACGTAGGCCTGGCAGCTCAGGATATTATTCTCGGCTCCGGGACAATCCCATTGCCTGACCGCTTGCTCGTGTTGCATTTTCATATATTATTTACGATTTGTTTTCTGTTTTTTACTTGAATTCCATTGAATGCTTTTAGATACATTACCAGTTAACTTGAAGATCCTGCCGCCCGGTTCTTGGCCGATCCCCCATTGTGGGCCAGTGCCAGCAATATGAGAGGACATCATCATCATCATCAAATGCGCACTCCAGACTGACGTAAGGAGCTGGACGGTTCCTGACACCTGGTCTTCGTATAGAACATCGCCGGAGGCGTGAGCGGGACTATTTCTTCACACGCGGAGGCGATCGGTCCGCGCTTCGGTCGTCCGGACTGTCGAAGTTGCACCCTACTGCATATTGTTTCGAAAGACGGCGACGCCAACACGGTCCCGAAGGCGCCACTGCTCCGATCTCCACCGGGAGGGTCACCAGCCGTTTGGTAGCGTAGGTTTCTCAGCTCGCGACTGCTTCTGCGCAGAGCTGATAAGACGAGTGGACGAGACGACGGTGAGTTAACAAGGTTTACGTACAGCAAAGAAATATAGGCGTTACAAATTTGGCACTGGGGCCGACAGCTTAGAGACTTGAAGAGCCGAGCTCTCTTCTCTGACATAGGTCTACTGCTCGCGACGCGCCGCAGGGCTTTTTTTATATGCACCGGGTGGATTCTTTGAGTAACCAAATGTCCAACCAGAAGCGCCGCTGGTCGTGAGGTCAGAATACTCCAATGGGGTCGCCGCTGGGCTGCGTCATTCTCATCAAATCCGGAGCCGCTGCTCTGCACGTGGCTGCACCCAAGGGCGAGTGACGCCGCCACGCATTGCGTAAGACTCGCCAGACAGGAAGGCGCCTATTGCTGCAACGGGCTCGTTGGCTGATGGGGCTCGCTGTGCGTTGTGCGACAAACAGGCGCCGCCGCGTAATGACGCCGTTGAGTTGTTCGCGTCAGGTGGGCTCGCGTGCTGGCCTTGACACAGATTGCGTTTTTCAGAGGCACGGACGTTCGGTGTGGACTCGCAGGCATAACAATATATGCCGTGAATTAATTTCACACGTCAAACGCCTGGGCGCATATAGTAGGTAAATGTTAAAGGGACACTAAAGAGCAAAACGATTCTTCTCGTATTGGTAAACTACCCCTTCTCTGCACCAAAAGCTACCACGCTTGCCGCGAGAATACGTTAGGTAAGTGAGAAAACACGTGACAAGAAAATGTCACAAATGCTTACGACGTCTGCTATGGCTTACGTGGTTGCTAATCGATAAAAATAGAATGCATTGTCCTCTCAATGGGCCATTGATTTGACGTACCAAGTTTGTGGAAATTTTATTGAGCCAATGGTGCCAAAATACGGTAAGTAAATCGGTAAGTGACTTCACGCGTGGAGAATTGGGGCGCGGAACTTAAAAATGGAACTTCGCCCTTAACTGTCTCCTCTATTAATTAACCTATCATGGTAAGGGTAAAATTTATCAGTTGAAACCAATTCATTGTTCCTTTTTAGTGATTCTTTAACTTGTGAATTTTGCATGCGATCGAGTATGTTCAGAAAGGTTTGTATTTTGTGTCGTTCCTTTCTATTTTTAAGGCGAAAGCCTCTAGTGTTTCCTGCTCACGTCCGCCCTTCCATGCCTGGCATTGTAGCATATACAGTAACTCTACCGGTTGCGTCGGACAACGTTTCGTCGGACTCTACAGCGCTCGCGCTTTGCTTGCGTAGCGTTGCAGTGCACAGCGTGTCTAATCTTGAAAGAAGGGAGGCGCGCGCATCGCCTTTCATTCTGAGTGATCCCGTCTCAGTGGGCGCAGGCATTCAATTTACTAAGTGTCCTTCAAGCTTTTTCATGTTATGGATAGAATGAATGGAAAACAGAAAGGTGCATTAGCAAATATGGTCCTTATGTAACCTGTACCGTTGTGCGGTGTAGAGATACATGCAGATACCGTCTGTACCGTTTTATGGTGCCCTTGGTGTGTAATTTCTTCTTTGTTTTTGCTCGCTTTTGTATCTGCAGTAACAAAACGCTCTGCTGTAGTTGATAGGGTAATCTGCCTTCCACGTAGGGCATTTCCGTGCGCTACCGCAGGCAAAGTTGCTTTTCCGGACAGTGGTGCGGTACCGCTGAATATGCGTGACGACGCCGTCGATGTCGCGCCGAACGAATCGCTAGCCCGCTCAAGCCTTTGTATATTATTGCCACGTTCCTTTCTTCAAGTTTTGTTATCGCCCCGTTACACTTTAAGTAATTCTCAGCGCAAATCGCGCCTCCAGTGTTACAAGCTTCAGGACAATAGTAATTATTTCGTTTAGATTACGCCCACTTCTCGAACAGTGCATATTATTCTGGAACCTACATGGTCGTGACTGATAACGGCATGTGTATAAATCCCGACGCACTTCACCACTTGTCAGTTGATCGACGGCCGACACTCTTTTCGCCGCTATCGGTGCCAGTGTGTATTGTCTTAATCTTACTTTTCCTTTGTTGGTCACAAGTTTGACCCGAATTAATAGGTTCATCTTCGATCTATTGCTCCCTTCGTCCACGTCCCGACCCCATGACAATATCTCGTTTTTTTTTTTTTTTTTTGTCGCTGGATCACGTCGTGCATGGTTTGTCGTGCTTGACTGCTCACTATACTATTTGAGATGCATTACGCAACGCTCGTTGGCCGAAATCATCGCTTCGGGCAATCTCGGGTCGTACAGGTCGAGACAAAATGAAAGAGATTTTTGCTGACGTTTAACCTCGTGTAGTGCGGGGGTCTAAAACTCACCTCAGCTAGTTGGCTATAGTAATTAGGTTAGTCACCCGATGGGCCGGTATGATGGTTGAAAAAGGAAAAAAGGGGGGGGGGGGGGATGAGGCGCTGGAGTTTGATCAAAATGTCAGTTACTGTTGCCACGCGATATATGAAAAAAAAAATGCGTTTTCCATGTATCTGCTACATGGGTCAGTATTAAAGGGGATTTGGATTCGGCGTCATGGTTTCAAGAAGTGTATCGGCATTGATCTCCAGAGTGATTGAAACGTCGACGTCAAGTTTTTGTCCTACGGTTGTCTTAATACATGGTGGCCGGATGAGATGCCTCCCGAAAAGGATGCTTGGAATCAGTTCTGTGTAGCTCATGAACAAACTTGTTTAGAGGAAGAAAAAAAAAAAAAAATGACTTAGACTGTAGCCGTGTGCGTGCCAGGCCAATGGCGGAAGCTCCGCGGGCACCGTGTCTGAAGTCCCATGTTGTAGTGCGTGTCTTACTTGCACTGTAGGACACTGGATTCACCTGTTTCGTAATACTGCGGTGTTTTATTGCAGCCCTGACTCTGGTCCTCCTGTGGGACCTGGCGTGCGGGGCATCGCAGGTCTTCCTGAATGGATCCACGCGCCTCCTGTCTAATGACTCGCAGCCCGTACTGAGCACGGTCACCAGCCTGACCTTCCGAACGTGCAGCAATGGAACGATACTGCGGCAGAGCTTCGGCAACGACTCCATCTCACTGGCCATCCACCCGAACGGCCCGCTTGAGCTCAGCTGGTTCGTCAACGGGGTCAAAGATTCGGTCATGGTTCGTATGCTCACTGTTCCACTCTTATATCGTGGACGCAATTTACCTCCTTTCGAGTAGCCACATCTCATTGTCGTTGCATGCAGAGACGCCTTATGTCCTCTTTGTTAGATTGCTGCTACTGGCTCAGTGTATGGCTGTGGTGATATGCGTCTGGAGCTCCTTGCCCCGGGTTCGATCCCGGCTGCTTTCTGATGGAGGCAGATTGCAAAAAACTTTAAGGAGGTTTATGAATATTTGAAGCTCTCGAACGGTTCAATATTTTGATTTGGTCTTCAAGTCGAATAGCCATTGTCAATGTAAATGCATATAAATAGCTACAAAGCTATAAATACAAAGCTGCAGCTGTGGCTAGTACACAAACTTGGTGCAAAAGTATGGTAAATTTTATCACCACATTGCACGTTCATGTAAATCATAGAGTAAATCAGCACTCGTCTTTTCTGAAGAGATCTGTATGCAAAAAAACTCGTCGTTTCTTTTAAATACAGTAGACTCACAATAATTGAAACTCTGATAATTCACACTTTCAGTTATTTCAAACAAAATTAAATTTTCTGGTTGGCCCTCTATTCTTTCAATGTATTTAAAAGCCTCTTAATTCAAAGTTTATCATTTAGTTAATTCATACTTTAGCCCTTTCATACCAGAAAACATCTGCTGCTTTCCCACTACTTTTTAAAAAGTTGCATGCTTATATAATCCTAAGAGCCTTTGCTAGTAAAATACAAATGTTTGAGATGAAGAACATGCATTGTAAACCCTGATGCTTCTCAACTGGTATAGATAGCTTTGTGCTGAAGGCACATAAAGCAAAGAAGCAGTTGGCAATCGACAATTTCTTTAAAAAGTCTGATCAGCAGTAAACGGCCGATAAACTTGAGACCCTTACAACTCTGCTTTCTGTTCATTGCGTGCATTAAAGGGGTAAAAATACTTTAAAATTTCAAATCTGATAAAATTAATGCCTATTCATAATGTAAAGTGTCACCTCGCCCACAGTCGTATATCTGAGAACTTTTGGCAATTCAAACTTCTTGATAATTCAAACAGAATTCAGAGGTCCGTTTGAGTTTGAATTAACTAGATTCGACTCTATGTAAGCTATGTAAAAATGAACTCATTGACTGCTAAAAAAAAAAAGAGAAAAAAATGATTTTAAAACACTTTTCATGTTTTTTGTGGCATAGAAAAGGTTCTAGTATTGTGTCTAAATCATGACAATGTCCACTTAAGCTATCTGTGACTAAGTTTGTTCATAAAGTTGTCTGCCATGGTGGTGTATAACGGTTACGGTGTTAGGCTGCTCGCTGGAAGGTCACGGGTTCGGTCTCGGCCTCGGTGGTCGAATTTCGATGGAAGCGAAATGATCCTAGAAGCCCGTGTACTGTGTGATGCCAGGTCGCGCTAAACAATATCATATGGTTCAAATTTCCGGAACCCTCCAATACGGCATCTCTCGTATTAATTTCATGGTTTGAAAACACAGAACTCCATATATTATTACTGTGGTTGATAAGGTCACAAAAAAGTGCGAAGTTGATAGGAAATATGTGCGCTTGCAGCTCATAACACCAATGCGAAAAGTATGTGAATGTGTCATATGAGTGAATAAATTTACCGTTTAAAGTGCTCATGCTTGAATGAGTTGGTCCATTGAGTGGAATGGTCTGTAGACAGCATTGGCTACTTAACAGTATCTTAAATTTTTGCATTTACCTCATAATAATGGCTCTTAGATAGCGACATATAAAGTGAATTAGTTTATCATACATACATACATACATACATACATACATACATACATACATACATACATACACACGTACACACACATGTACACACACAGGGTGTTTCAAGAAATGTTTCCAATATTCTTTAAAAATCAGCAAAATGTGCTATATGCTCGCTGTCTTCACAGTTGCTTTTTATGTAGAGGCAGGCATATTAAATGAGTTCAAGACATCATTTGTAACAGTAATTAAGAAAGTTGAAATGATCATCTTTTTAATTAGTCTAGTTAGGCAGTTATGTCAGAAAGGAGCATTGAAGTTCTTCACACGAAGAATTCATTGCCGCTTTGAGGTTTCGGAAAAGCGGCCTCTAGTAATAACAGTGAATTCATGAAATTCTACGAAACTCTGTGGCGAAACTGAAATCAAAGAACCGATGAGCGCAACAGGCTGACCACTACAATGATGTCACTGTTCAAAACAACGGCTACTGGAGTGTAGTTCTTCTCCTTTTCGTTAACGAATGTACGTCACGCATGCTGTAATTGCAAGTGCAGCCCACACACCCACACAATGAAGTCACTTCATGGTTGATATAACAAAGCTCCATTATTTTGGACGTCTCAGAAGAATAAGGCAGTTGCGCTCTTTCATGTTTTGGTTTTGGTTTCACCACAGATTTTAGGAGAATTTCATTATTTTGCTGTCATTACTAGAGGCCACTTTTCCAAAACCCAAAGCGGCAGTAGGTTCTTTGCATGAAGGACTTCTATTCTCCCATTTGACTTAACTGCCTAACTTCACTAATTGAAAAGTGAATTAATTTAAGTTTCCTAATTACTGTTCCAACTAATGTTTTCAACCCTCTTTACGATGCCTGCCGCTACAAAAAAAAGCAACTGTGGAGACGACGAGCAAATAGCGCATTTTGCTCATTTTAAAAGAACATTGGGCACATTTCTTGAAACACCCTGTATACAGGGTGTCTTTTCAAGCAATACAGATTTTTCTTTAAAAACTAACTGGTAGCCACTTGTTGTCTTCACAGCCTATTTCCAGGCTGAAGTGGAAAGGTTTTGCGAATAATTAGATCACTTAGGCATGGTTATTTGATAGAAATAATTGAATTAACTTTTTATTATTAATTTCAGGGTGGTTGTTTATTAGGCAAAGTTGTTCTATGTCACAAATTATGGCCAGCTTAGTTTTAAAAAATTGAAAATATCACACGTGGCAGAGATCCATCGCCAAATTTCCAGAGTGCGGTGCCAAAGAAACGGAAACTAACATCCGAGGCTGGCGAAACCAGCCTTGTGCATCGTAACTTGTGGAGCGTTCTTTAAGCCGAAAGCAAGCATTAAAGGGCAAAATGTTTATAATGGGGAGATGAAAACTGTGTAACAAAAGGCTTGCTTCATCAGCAGCCCATGTGCTCATATTTGGGTGCACGTTAAAGAACCCCAGGTGGTCGAAATTTCCGGAGCCCTCCACTACGGCGTCTCTCATAATCATATGGTGGTTTTGGGACGTTGAACCCCACATATCAATCAATCAATTGCTTCATCAGCAGGACCTGCCAGTATCCTTGTACCAACTAATGCACTCAGTGCATTTCGATTTTTCTAGCTCCGTGGTCTGGAAATTTTTCGATGAATCTTTGAACTACGCGTGATATTTTTAATTTTTAAGAACTAGGCTCGCCATAGCGTGTGACATAGAACTTTGCCATATAAACAACCACCCTGAAATATAATAGAAAAGCTAATTCAATTATTTTTATCAAATAATAATGCCTAATTGATCTAAATAGTGGCAAAATTTTTAATCTTTCCACCTCGGCCTGGAAATTGGCTGTGAAGACAAGTGCCTACTCATTATAGTTTTTAAGGCAAAATTTGTATTATATATAATATATATTGCCACGGACTAAAAGGCCGGGCATGATGGCAGAGAACGGCGAATTGACGTGCCTGGGAAGCAACTCAATTTCACTGAGAAAGACGATGTTGAAGCGTCTGCTTTTCTTGTTCTATTAATACAGACATTGTTTTTGCTGGTTGCATCGTCATCCTGTGTCCTGTTTATTTCAAGTTGTGACATTGGTGGAGGTGTTGGTCTTCAACTGATGCTTGGGACACCTCCGCAACCTGGAACTTCGTCGTCCTCTGCCATATATATATATATATATATGTTGCCCCCTGCGGTGGTCTAGTGGCTAAGGTACTCGGCTGCTGACCTGCAGGTCGTGGGTTCGTATCTGCGGCGGCTGCATTTTCTATGGAGGCGGAAATGTTGTAGGCCCGTGTGCTCAGATTTGGGTGCACGTTAAAGAACCCCAGGTGGTCGAAATTTCCGGAGTTCTCCACTACGGCTTCTCTCATAATCATATGGTGGTTTTGGGACGTTAAACCCCATATATCAATCTATATATATATATATATATATATATTTATGTATATATGTGTAAGTATATATATGTATGTATATATGTATGTATATATGTGTAAGTATATATATGTATGTATATATGTATGTATATATGTGTATGTATATATGTATGTATATATGTATGTATATATGTGTATGTATATATGTGTATGAATATATGTGTATGAATTATATGTATGGATATATGTATATATGGATATTGGTAGGCATGGATTTAATGTAGCAAGTTCTCAAAAGATGGCTTCCCTCAATATTATTGTTCTGCAAATATTTGCATATCATGAATCCCAAATAAAACGAAGGTACTTTCATGTAGGATGCAACTTTTGTGTGAGAGGCTTTCACAGTACGAGAACTATAGTGGGCTCTGGAAGTCAAAGTTAACGCGTGGTTGTATTTGCACCCTACTTGATAATTACGAACTGGAAAAAATATTGGTGCAATAGAAAAATTCCTTTCAAGAGTGTTTATTTTGCTGACTGATGTTCAGGTGGGTGCCAATATGATGGACAATCAGCTGCACTGGGTATCCATACGCTCTATGTATGGCCTTGTTTGGCTGCACGTTGGCGAACATCAGCCGGTGCTCGTGGCCAGTGACGCCATTAGGCCCTACCTCCTTTCTGTGGCATCGGCAGCAGCAGTGTCAACGGTGTTGGCCCCATCAGGGTTTCGGGGCTGCCTATCCGGTGGTGCCAACCTCTTTTTGGAGAGTGCACATGCTGTTGGAAGCCCTGCGTGGGGCATTTGCCCTTTGCCAGATGGGCGTCAATGCAGTAAGTAATGGACAATCTGCATTCGCGATCCTTGAACTTTCTGCATATTGCTTTTTTTATTTGATGATTAAGGTATTCAGTGCGCTAGCTAAACTTCCACAAGGTCTCGATCACTATGAATGTTCGGTTGTTTCCTTACCAGTTGTCAGGAGAAAGTAACAGTCATTTGTGCACTACAAGAAATGCCGTGCACGAGCCACATCATCCAAAACATGTGGTATTTTCAATAAAGTCAATGGGATGCGCTCCAAAGAGCCAAAATTTTCATGGCATCATGTATCAGTTAGTCACATATCTAAAATCGCGTAACACATAGTCACCTGACTAAAAATCTTCTAACTTGCGTAGCTACCCACGTGACTAAGATTACGAAACATCTAGGCATGTGACCAAGGTCATGTAACACCGTGTAACAACTGGTCACGCGACCAAAATCACGTAACAGCTAATAACAGGACATGTCCCCCTCATAGACAATGTAACAGCTAATCAACTGACTAAAATTGCGTAACTGGTTACGTGGCATGTTCCCACCAAAAACCAACAGGTAACGGGACTGAAATCGCAGCACATAACACCCAGTCATCGGACATGTTCCCTCCAATATCACGTAACATGTGCATCGTGCGGGGCACCGACCAACACCGGAGGAAGATAGCAAAGCCTAACCGCATTACTACTAGCAAAAACTTAGAAAAAGCTATCCTTGTTGGACTATAGTGCAAGCTGAGCTTTTTCAATGTCGCATGTGCACAGTGCAGTGCACGCACACAAACACACACACGCACGCACACCCTGGCAGTGTTGAACTACTGCTTGGACAGCACGTGAAGCAGCATCGGTAGACGATGCACTTCCACCAGGGTGCGTCGCTTATTGTTCAGGAAGAACTAGCTGTGACTGTCTTGTGTATTGATAATTGATACACGGTTCACGTCAAAAGAACGACATTAGCAGCATGTCTGGCGTGAAAAATTTCGTGCAGTCCATTGCATATCAACCGCCGCAGACAGGCCTCCGTTAATGCAGCACTTCATTTCCATACATAATATTGGTAGACACCCTCAGGGCTCACCGCATATCTTATTTATAAGGTATGTGGCAACCGCACAACGTTGAGCTTGAAAGTTTTTAAGTGAGCACTACTGCCGCAGTATTTGTCGTCTCAGCGAGCCCTGTCATTCCCTCTTCTTCGCGCTCTCTTCACTTTTGCCGCCTTTTATCCTCTGCTGCGCTACATGTTTGCTCTCTGTCGTCCTTGTTTGCTATCCAGAAACAACAATCCGATCGCTTCTCAACACGAGAATGGGTGCTTTAGATCTGGGCTCCTACTTTTAGTCACAGTTTCGTTGTAAGATCGAAGTAACAAATTCAAATATTATACGAAGGGATTCTAGCAGCTTTAACTCCTTCAGCATTCAGCCTGGTGTAAGGCAACTTGGCTGCTGCAGCAATCGAAGTGGTCTTAATTGTGTGATCTATCACTTCAACGCGAACTGGGTCTGCAGAACACAGTACGTGAGAATGTATGAGTCGTCTGTGGATCCCTGCTGATCCCTGTCTGCTGACTGCACTCGTCAGCTTGAAGTATGCTGTTCCCACTGGAGTCACGCAGGCTCTCTCCTGTACCTGCCCTCTCCCTCTCCATGGGCCTTTCGCGTGATGGAAGACGGCCTGCGAGTTTTATTTCTGATATTGATCCGTGATTATCGGCCGCCCTCTCGTGCTTTCACTCACACATGAAAAATACGTCGTTTGGCACGATGTTATCAACGTTATGCAGAATTTCATGGCGACAGCGATGCCGAAGATGTGGCTGGAGTGTCTGTAATATTACTATCACATCACTAAATGAAATGCTGTAGCTTTGTTTTCTAAAGTACAGGGCTCACTATAGTGATAATGCACATTTTTTGGTAAAAATAGATTTATTGCAGGGTCATCTACAAAAAGGTAAAATTTCTCTAGATACTCTTCTCCTGCATCGATAGACCACCTGTGAAGATGTCTCTTCCGTGCTTGAAAGGCACCTTAAAGGTCCTGATATGGAAGGTCTCTTAGCTACACTGTAACATGCGTTTCAATGTTTTCACCGATTTTTCTTTCAGCTTTTTTTTTTAGTCAGCGAAAGAAAAAAGAAAGTCCCACTGAGCCAGATTAGGACTCTGAGGGTAATGGGGGACCACTGGAGTGTTGCTCCAGGCCAGGGGGTTGGTGGTGATGGACATGAGGCAAAGCGGTGCTTCAATCTCTTGAGAACCTCCAGTGAAAGGCAGTATTCACAGCTGCTCTCTGTGGTACAATCTCAGTTTGCTGAATGCTCAGTCAGACGTCCTAATGCTAAACATGGCCAAGCAATCAACATTTTTATTGTTTCTGGTCGTTGTTGGGTGGTCCAGAACGAAGTTCGGTGGTGGCCTCCCGGCTCTCTTTCAATGCCTTATGTCACCTATTGGACTGTGACCTTGAAATGCAGTCGTTTTTGAAAGCCTCTTGAAGCATCTGTAATTTTTCGGTTGCATTCTTTCCGAGCTTCACGCAAAACTTAATGCCGTATCACTCTCAGAGAGACCACTCCATTGCACAGTGTTAAAAATTCGAAAACAAAAGTTTCACGAGGAGTTTTGAAAGCAGCGTGAAAAAGGCACACCACACATAAAAAGGGGACGCACACAGTGCCGACTCTCAGTAATTTTTTCTTTGTGAAAGAACGCACCGCTTTTTTTCTAAGCACGTACAACCAACAACCCGAGCTCTCTGTACTTCTGTTTTACATGGAGGCATGTTTTTCCACCCACACTGCTCATTGTGAACTGGCGATCTTCTGCATTGAAATGACAGATCCCCCTCCACATAGCCTGATAGATTTTACCACGCTGCCATAGATAGTTGCTTCATAATAAAATCATGCACACACTTTTATAACAGATGTAGTATTCACAAGTAGTGTACTACCACTCCAACTCTTAGACAGCACTTGTCCTGTGCCCTTCTCGTCATGTGTCTCCGTAATGTTTGCACTGGTTTTTCTAGTATACTTCTACTATTTTGTTTGAATTATTTAACTATGATCACTGTTTGTGTGGAACCTGACATTTTCTATTTTTCATACCTACATCTCTACTATAAATAAAAATGAAAGTAGTTGTAGACAAGAACTACGATGAAAGAAAAAGAACAAGATTCTTACTCACAAGAGTGCCCTTTTGTCAACGAGTGTAGTTTAACCCGTTTCTAAAAGGCATGCAGTGGGGAGCAATTCTTGTCACTAACCTGAGGTGTCTCTTAAAAGTAGGGTACTGCATATGCGTTTTCTTATCAATGCCTATCTCAATGTAGACACACTTGTCTATCTTATACCCATTTGTCTCTTATAACAGTGTCCATTCTAAAAGATTTGAGAGTACTTGGAAAAAAGGTGTGACACTACCTGATGTGATGGTTGATCAGAATTATTTTCACACACTCGAAAAAAAAAAAGATTCAGATTGTGTGTCAGTATCCTATTAGTTTTAATTGGCTTTTGTGGATCTAAGCTATTGACTATAGCGTCTTATATGGGTTATATGATGGCACTTCCACAGGCTATTCTAACATATTCAATGGAGGCTTTGCTTGTGGTAGGTTAAATACTTGCATGCTCTTGATGATGCACATGAATATTTTTTTCTACTAGTATTTTATTTTTCTTCTCCAAGTGAAAGACTTGCTAGCTAGTGACTTTCACATGCAGCCCCAATATGTTGTCTTCTCTAAGTCCTTGTCGGCTTCGCTTACTCTACAAGCTATTCAAGTAACTATATAACAAGACAACATTACACAACTAACATTGTGCTCTACTCTTTTGAAGTATTGGGGCTTACCATAATACCACCAATAAAAAAACATGTAGGAACATTATTGAAGTCAGTCGGCTTACATCTGGACGCCTGCCTCTTGTGCATCTAAGAAGCAGGACGTTTTGTAGACATAAATGAAACAGACAACTTGTACTTTGTTCCATAGTGATTGTTTGTATAATCAACTTTGATGTGCAGTGTTCATTTCAGCCACAGTGCAACTAACTGTGATTTGTCAGCTGTTTATACGTTTTCATATATGATGTCACACGTTAAAGCCCGTATAGCTGTGTTTATCTGTTCCAAATATATAATGCCCGATGTATGCACCTTCATCAACTTTATTTAGTTTTTTTTAGTTTGAGGCTAGTTTAATTCAATGTGTTGAAAGTTTGTGATAACCTTCAGTGAAAAGTTTATGGTGAACTTTGAAAGCTTGCTTGGGTATGGTGCACACCATAAGAAAATTCTCATACGCAGTGTGAAAGCAGAATGTGTTACACATTTAAGTTTAGTTCACTGATGAAAGCCAGGGGTAATACTGTGGTGCCAGCCTCTGAATTCGCTGCCACTCTTGCCTCTTCTCTTGTAGAAGACCACGTGATGGACCCCTGCTTTGACCACCACTGCCAACATGGTGGCTTGTGTGTACTGCAACAGGGAGTGCCCAAGTGTAACTGCACAGCTAGATACAGTGGCGAGCATTGTGAAAAAGATGAGGGTAAGTCGTGTGCTTGAAGCTCTGCTCATGCTTATATTCAGTTTTTGTCGCTGTATTGTTCCATACGTCATAGTGGCAAGTCACAGTGGCAAAAAAATTCGGTTGACAGACTTAGAAGATGCTGGTTCATTGTTATGTACCAAGGTTTCACAAGAATACAAAAGAATAAAAGGCAGCAACACCTCTTATGGTTTTAGTTGTTAAAGCCAACATTTTTTTTTGCTGAAGTGGTCATTGGTGGTTTTAGGGGGAGTTAACATTTTGAATGGAAGTTTAGACAGAAAATTTATTGGGAAATGTTCTTTTATGTTTCTAGAAGTGCTACTGCAAAATCTTCAGTCGGGATGGCAGGTGAATGTTCTTCGTAGAATAAGAGCGCAAACAGTACAAATGAAAGCGCTGTCTCTTTCTTCTACTCTCCGCATTCTTACTCTGTTGCACTGTTAGTTGTTTCATGAGATACTGACAAGGCTACCAAGGGCTTTGCCTATGTCACTTTCTGTTGGTTTGATTGGATGATGCAAATTACCTAAGGGAGTTATTTTTCTGCTGCATTCAGGTTAGACATTTATCAGTAAATGTGTCACTCTTTTTATTTCTAACCTGTGAATATAAATCACGTTGGTACCACTGGGCTGGAATAAAATGCAGAAAAAAATCTCGGAACTCCTTGAAAATGGAGCTAATTAAAACGCAGCATGATTTTTTCAAAGTCACCTCTCAAACATGTTGTAACTCTAATTATTCTATCATAGAGGCAGTGATAGCAGTGTTACCGGGGATCCCGAAGACAAGTATAAGGGTTATGCCTTGCTTTTTTTTTCTTTTTAAAAATCCCACTGTTGGTAAAACTTCAGTGATTGTCAGAGCAGAAAGCACATGATTTATAATTAGGGGAGTGCAGGGCAGTGAATAAGTGATTTCCAAACTACGACATAATCACAAAATGTGTGGCGATGACCAGAAAATAAAGGAATGGTTTCACTAAGCAAGAAATGAGTTACCCGCCACGGTAGTCTGGCGGTTAAGGCACTCGGCTGCTGACCTGCAGGTCGTGGAATCGAATCCAGGCCGTAGTGGCCACATTTGCAATAGAGGCGAAAATGCTTAAGCCTCGTGTGCTTAGACTTAGGTGCACGTTAAAGAACCCCAAAAGGTCCAAATTTCCGGAGCCCTTCTCTATGGCATCTTTCATAATCATAACGGGGTTTTGGGACTTAAAACCCCAAACAATTATTATAAGAAATGACAGTTGTGGTGTAAGCTTTTATTTTTTGATGAGAAAGATGACTTCGGCAGCTAATACTTACGTGAAAAGGTCATGCTGACATGCGCAATTACAGGCAGTGGGTTTGTTTGTTGAAAGTTTGGGTGAAGTAAGATATTTTATGCAGATGCACTTTCTTGATTGTGAACAACTTATACAGCATCTTACCAGGCCCCACTAGCACGCCTTAACATGTGTTTAGTTGTTGTAGAATAAGTTCAGAAGTTGTTGGTGCTAATGTACTATGAGGTGTCCCCTGGGGCTGCTTTTATTTGTATTTTATATTTTAATGGCCTTGCTGTACACTGGGGCCTCTTTTTATTGGTAGAAACTATTGAGGCAAAATAGTTATCCCAGTGGTATTTTGTAATGAATGGCATACCAGTACTGCACTGGATGTTGCCTGCTATTTATTTGGCTTGCACTTGCTTTTACGATATATCTGCTGCCCATGCCATTTTATTTAATTGACAATGCTTGTGTCCCACAGTGCAGGCTGCTAGAACTTTCTTATTTTGCCACTAGGATGGGGCATTTATATTTTGAGCATTTACTGCTTGTTGGTTGGTGAAACTGGGAGAAGTACAAGATCTATGGGGACTGGCAAAAAGAAATTTTGCGTCGCAGTATGTGCCAGCTTGGACATTTTTTCCCGGAGACTGAGGAACTTGTCTACATTGTAACAGACTGGCAAATGTACGTCCTTTTTTATCCATTCAGCTTGATGCTTGGTAGTACCACTTATTCAGAATTTGTATTGCATCATACTACGCACAAGCACCATGCCCATAGAGTTTAACTGGCATTCTTTGACTGATATCTCAGCAAAACTGTGCCATTGCTGATGCATGCCCATCTGCACCTACTGATCTCGTTTTTGTCTGCGACTGTCACAGTCATGACAGGGGGCCAATGTTTAAAATATCTTAGAGCTGACATTTAGGAGCACATCTAACAGAACAACCGTAGGCTGTAGAAACTGATCCTACTGTGTGTTATAGCCTAAATGTGTCTTTGAGGCAGATGGTCAACTTGCCTGTGGCATGGCTGGCCTTTTATGCCCAGGACCTTTATGTGACCGAGACCCATGGAGAAAGAAGCCATGCGTCAACGGTGGCGTCTGCGTGGAGGACTGGCGGGGTAATAGTACTCGTTGCCTGTGCCGTGGACCATGGACTGGCAGCGCGTGCCAAGAGCCTGCACCCAACGCCCAGTGCGATCAACCATCCAAAGCGTGCAGGAATGGGGGCAGCTGTGTGACTGGCAGTGTCCAGAGTCGCACCTTCTGTCAGTGTCCGCCAGGTAAGTTCGTTTCTGTTGCTTTCTGTTGCACTCCTGCATCATAAATGGTGGAAGAATAAAAACAGCGAAACATTTGATACTTGCTTGTGTATGATGAATAACAAAAAACAAACAGAAGCTCGATGTAGCTTTTTGAAACTTATGCATAAGTGCATATGTGTGAAAGGTAACAATTTTAAGGACATTGCCACGAGCAAAGTACTTCAAGCTATGTGGATTTTTTTTTCCTCGAAGGAAAGGAACACTACAAAAAATAAGTGCTGTGGGGACCAAAGAAAAGACTAGTGGTCTCACTTGACGAAAGATCACAAAGGTGTCATAAGTTTGTTTTTTTCAGTGAGAAAGATGACCTTCACAGCCATAAGCTTCATTATCATAATATAATGCCACTTATGATTCAGCTCAACATATAATTCAATTGAATTGAGGTTATTGCAGCAAGGCTATCTTTTACTCTTTGTTGTTCCTATGCATACCTGAGATGTTTCGAACTAATGCTAAAATGACATGAGACAAAAATAAGTGTACAGGGCACAACACTAGTAATGGGTCTTCTGTGTTTTTTGCTCTTGTGATGATCTGTGTCATAATACTGCTATTAAAAAATGCCTGAAATCATTTTTATCTGATTGCTCAAAAACGTGTGGTAGAAATTAAAGGTCGCATGTAAAGTAATGTATTTTTATTTGAGCTGTGTGAATAACGATAATTTGGATGTGGAGGGAATTCGAATGTTGAACCTCTAGTGCAAATCTAATGGAATGCTTTTCAAATATTTCTAGAATAATTTTCAAAAACTTTGAAGAGTGAAGTTTTGGAAAAAAAGTTGGAGAGGTTTCTTAAATGTAATCTTGTGAGATAGCAACATGAAAGTGTGTCTTTTGGCTATGTCAAAGTAGCTTAGGGGGAATAGGCTTCATAGTTGTCTTATTAAGAATCAGGCAATGCAGAGGCCAAATTGTATTTACAGTAGACTCGCGATAATTCAAATTCTGAAAATTCATACTTTCTGTTAATTCAAACAAAATTAATTTTTTTGCTTGGCCCTCTATTTTTTTTTTCATGTATTGCAAGCCTCTTAATTCAAACTACATCATTCGCTTAATTGACACTTTTTGCTGTTTCATACCAGAAACTATCTGCTGACTTCTCACTACTATTTAAATACTTACATACTGATGTAACTCTAACAGCCTAAAAAAAAAAAAAAAAACAAGCACCCTATGTCTTCCAGTAAAAAGGCTTTATTAGTAAAAAACAAATGTTTGAGATGATGCACACACATTGTAAACTGTGATGCTTCTCAACTTGTATAGAGAGCTTTGTGCTGAAGGCACATATACCAAAGAAGCAGTTGGCAATTGACTATTTCTTTAAAACGTCTAATCAGCAGTAAATGGACGATAAACTTGTGGCCATTATACTTTTGCTTTCTGTTCATTGTGTGCTGTGTGGGGTTAACAAACACTTCAAATATTTTTAAATCTGATAAAATCAATGCCTATTCATGATGTATAGTTTGACATAACCCACAGTCATTTATCGGATAACTTCTGATGATTCAAACTTCTTCATAATTGAAACAAAATTCGGAGGTCCCTTCGAGCTTGAATTAACTAGAGTCGACTGTATGTACATGATTTGGTACAGCCGAAGTGTCTCCGACAACACTTCACATGTGGCAGACTAAGATGCCACTTCTTTTGCCTTTCCTCCTTTTTCGACTTTTGTGGAAGCCGAGCTGACAGTGTGGATAAGGGTGTGCTCCCTTCGAGTTCGGAGTCCCGTATCTGCCGTGCAGATGTCAATATATGAGAACATTTGAAATTTCGGGCACTAGAAATCTTCAGTGTCTAATTTTACGGACTTCCTGCCCAAATCTCAAGTTCAAAACAGCATCAATTGAGCCTCCAGCCCTGCCCCCACCACCACCTCCTCCTCCTCCCCTGACACATTTGACACATTTACTATATCTCCATGTTGGAACCAGCATTTTCTTGAGTCAATACATTTGGGACCGTAGCAGAGCATGATATGCAGCTTTGCTGCAGTACGAGAATCTCATGGGGTGAAGCGTACTAAAATCCTGGAGAGGCCAATTGAACATTGATTACTTGTCTTCAGGGAGTTCAAATAGTTTGAATAGTAAAATTACCATGTGAATCAAATTGAACAGGAAATGGTATTAAAAAGATATTCGAAATTTCGAATATGTGCACACCGCTAATTTTTATATCTCTTTGAGGAGCTTGTACTGCCCACTAGTCAACCCAGTATGTGTCTCCTTCTAAGATGCATGATTGTTTGATATCATGTGTCCCTTGCCTGTCTTAACTCTTATTGTTATCCCCCTAGGAGCAAGCCAAGTTGTCACGACGCACATTCACAACAAAGAAATGTTTTGATTGCTCCCAGTGCCTCTGGTCCACTATAAATTGTAGATGTTGTGGTAATACTTGACCTTATCTGATCTTTGTCTTCCCCGCATGACACACAATGACAAAAGTCAGTTACATTGCGATGAGAGACCGTGCAAAGGCTAATGTCATTTGGATGGCATGAATAGCTTGGGCTTGGGAGCTTGTATACTATGGTTATCTGCTCCTCTTTGGGCTACAAGGTACCCTGCTTCACAGGACTACGATTGAACCACTTTATGAAAGTTCTTGTCCTGCGACTCTTATAAGCAGGGTGCCATGTCCTCGGTTTCTTATCAATCTTTATTGCAGTGTAGGTGCACTGGTGTCTCTTATACCCAAATGCTTGTTTCATCAGTGTCTGATAAAGGGGTACAACTGTATACACCACTGGAGGCATCCCATTTTTCTTTTGCAGTGTGTAACTAGCACAGGTAAACTGAGTTCTTCATAGCTCCTTCAGTTTGTTGGTCTGCATCTGCAAATGAGGTCAGCATAGGCCACAAACGTTTACTCAGTGTTCCTGCATCACTAATCAAGCATTATTTATTGACGAGTGTGTTTTCACTGATATTTATATACATAGTTGACTGACATCAATGCCTTCACTCTTTTTGACACCTGTTGATAGTAAGGCTGCATATGTTGTTCCTGTGCTGTTTTTCGACAGGGTATGCTGGCATCTATTGTGAGCAGCATGTTGGAGAGTGCCAACTGGGCTTGTGCCACCACGGTGGTGTCTGCACTGAAGGCTCTGTTGGGCCACTCTGCAACTGCCAAAACACAGGTGGGTGCATATTTTAAGGTTAAGGCTGGCATTACTTCTTTTATTCAAACCTCTTTCTTGGTTTCGATTCAAGTATAGGTATTGTATAAACCGTACTATAGGTCGAGTGGGAATATAGGTCGACCCCCCAAGTTCAGGTTACCGAAAAAAAAAAGGGAAATAACCCGAAATTGCCGAACGATATTTATTTGCGAATTGGGCGCACTGCACCCCGGTCATCGAAGTTCCCCTCAACTGTTCCTATTCGTCAGACGAAGTACCACTGTCTTCTGAAGACGTGAGTTTGTCGCTGGCCGCCTCCCACAGTGCGTTGTCTTGCATGCCATACCGCGAGTTGCTGATGGAACATTTCTTAAAAGCATTTTCCTCCATGGAATCTGGCAAGGAACGCCAGGTGGAGAGCACCCAGCCCCAAACAGTCACAAGCGGAGGCCTCTGTAAGCGACCCGTCGGTGCCTTTGGGTTGTCACCGGACATCCACTTTTGGTACTCCAGCCGCACTCGGTCCTTCAACGGCTTGTTTAGCACAACGTTGATCGGTTGGAGGGAGGACGTTATACAACCTGGTATTACGGTGAGGTTCGTTTTTCCATCGCCCAGTGCGCACTTCACAGCATCGGTTAAGTGACCACAAAACGAATCTAACACCAGCATGCTGCAAAGACGCAGCAGAGCACCTGGCTGACGGTTCCAAACCACTCCTACCCATTCGAGCATCATGGCCTCGTCCATGTATCCCTTTTTGTTGACGGGAACGACAACACCAGGCGGGAACACTTCCTTCGGCATTGTCTTACGTTTGAAAATGATGAAGGGCGGAAGCTTTCTACCATCTGCCATGCATGCCAGCATGACGATGAAGCACAAGTGCTCGTTGCCAGTGGACAACGGCTTCACATCCTTGGCGCCACACTGCATGATCTTGGTCGATGAAGGCATGTCAAACACATGAGGGTCTCATCGGCATTTTCAATCTGCCCCATCATGTAGTTGTTCTGCTCCCGAAGCCGGTTGATGAAGCCTTTAAAGTTTATAAGCTTGTCCTCGAACTCGTCTGGAAACTTCCTACAGATGGATGTGCGCCATTGGAAAGAAAATCCTTTGCGTCTCATGAATCGACGCACCCAAGAGTTTGGTGCACGAAACTCTTCTCTCGTGAGCGCAGCTTCGCGAGTGAGTTCCACAGCTTTCTTGCGAATGGTATCCACGGTCACTGGCAGCGAGCAGGCAGGAACTTCCCACACAAAGTTCTCTAGCATATCCTCCAGCTGCGGATGAACCGCACTTCACCCACGAAATGACATTTTCCGAGGATTGCACATCTGCAGCTTCCTTTTCTGCACCCTTTAATAGCGCACGCTTTTTTCTGACTCACCAAAGCGGCGCTGAGAAGCGATATTCTCATTCGCTTCTACAAACTCAACAACTTGTAGTTTAAACGCAGCTGAGTACTGCCTTCTCGTACCGCTACTCATATTCAGTGAATGAAGAAAAGACCAGTAAAAATGAAACACAATGTCAAGCGGAGCGAGAACTTAGAACAGATCGGAGGCAAATCACGAACACAAAAAAACAGACAAGAGAGAAAAAAACAACAACCTGCTATTGGATGTGAATGCGAATATGGCCGTGTCCAGCTTCTCATGCAAATGCAAGTCACATGTTGCCAGACAGCGGTGCATGTCGGCTAGACACTGCTATATAAGATGAGGGGCGGCTTTAGGTCGTTGTTTTATTGAAAATATCTCGACTTATATTCTGTTTTATACGGTATATCAAAACTTGAATACGTTATTGGTTGGGATATCTGACAAAATTCTGCCAAGGTGCAGTTACTTCAGCAAATGCTGCTTGGATTGCTAGCATATTTAGCGTACAGTTTTAATCATAAGTAGTAAACCTTGCAATATCCAAAGTCAAAGTGTCGTTTGGTAAATATCAGTGTAAGCGAAAGGTTCAGATTTCAACAGGCTCTTGTTCTCACGGCATATAGATGGGTCTGTGACGCTCTTTTTTTGTTTGTCACATATCTTTGCTGCTACAAATGGAAAGTTTGGCTGAAACTAAAAAAAAACTTGTGCAAAATATAGCACTGCAGAAAATGTAATGTTCTTGCTGGTAGAATGTTCCTGCTGTATTTCTTTTGCTTTTATTTTTGTGAAGAGCTCTGTTTACAGAAATTCTATTCAATTTTTTTTCTTGGCTGCTAATATGTATTAATCCTCTCCCAGTGAAAAAGTTGCTCTTTATAATCCCCCATCTAGAAATCGGGACTGAACTAAAGTAACAGTGGACATGTTTATATAATTAACACTATGGATAGCTTCCCAAAGGTTGGCATTTTTTAAGAGATATACGAATTGGCTATTGCTCTAGCTCTGCTGGGCTGCATATTGACATAGTCTGACAAGACAGCACTAATTTATTTATTTACTGCTATTATTATTTTGTAAATGGCTTTTTGGGGAGCTCATTGAGAATAGTTGTAGTACACTAATAATCTTTCTGTTTTTGTGTATCCAGTTCGAAACAAATTGAAATAGAGTGTCAATATAGCCACCTCCTGAATTTTTGGTGCCATGGATTCGGGCTCTATTAGATTATTCCAGCTTTCTCCAACTATGCTCACTCACACCATGGATCGACTGCAAAAGCTTTATCGTGGCAACAGAAACTTCAGCTGCTGTTGCATATCTTCAGAATAGGCTTCACGAGCGTAAGGTATAATTTTGATTTTATCTCTGGTGCAGAACACCAGATGTGGGCTCAAGAGCATAGGGCAGCGTGCTCAGAGGATCTTTAAAAAGTTGGCTCACTTCTACTATAGATATAAAAAAAAACAGTGAGTGTGCAAAATAGTATTGATATGTTTAATAATTTTAACAAAACCTGATTGTTTCTTTTCTTAGCTTCGACTATAGCATTCTATTTTAGCACAAGCGGTTTGTACTTACCTGGCAGGAGGCTGGGATTCTGCAAGTAAGAGTGCAAAATAAAGGTTGGCCACCGAAGAAGCTGAGCCTAGCTAGCTAGTACTGCCTTTTTTCCTCTGACCCACAAAGGCAGGGCAGTCTGTTGCATAATTTTGGGGCTGCCACATACCAATTCAAAAAGTCATCATGTTGTTGCTCTAGTGCTTGACTTCCTTGTACTTGCATGCATATGTACAGTAAAACCTCGTTAATTCGAACTCTGTTATTTTGAAATCTCATTTTATTCGAAGTATTTCTACAGTCCCATATGTTGCAATGCAAGTTTGAGCAGATAATTTGAAGACGAGGTCAGCACTATTCGGTTAATTCCTGCTCATGATTTCGCCACAAGTTCGTGGAAACAACAGCCTTTAAAAGCCACTAGGCAATGTACTGTAGTGATACTAATGAGTCGCTACTTCCAGCACTAAAGAATGAAGTTATAAAAAAAGTGGCCTCAAGATCAGCTGAAATGTGTGCCTGCAGAAAACAAGACGTGCTTAACTGCAACACAGCAGCTCCGCCGTGGTGGTCTAGTAGCTAAGGCGCTCGGCTGCTAATCCGGACGTCGCGGTATTGAATACCGGCTGCGGTGACTGCGTTTTCGGTGGAGGCGGAAACACTGTAAGTCCATTTGCTCAGATTTGGTTAAATAACCCGAGGTAGTCGAAATTTCCGGAGCCCTCCACTACGGCATCTCTCATAATTATACGGTAATTTTGGGACAATAAACCCCACGCATAAAAAATAAATATATAACACAGCAGTGACATGCAGGCAGCATGTCGCATGCTTCTTGCAATGTCAGCACGTCATGATTTACCCATTCTTTCTGAGAATTTAAAGAAATAATAAAGGACAGTCTGGTGGAATTCGCAATGTATGCGAAGCTCCAAGTGCCGGTTGCTCCAGCAATTCACACACTTGCACTGCTGGTGGAGTTCTTGCTTGCAACGCCTGCTTTGAAATTTTTGTTTGGAGTGGGGGGGGGGGGGGGGAGAACAGCGGCAACGCCGGCTCGTGGAGTGCAGGTCCCCATGCCCGCCTAGCACTCACCGCGCGCAATAACCAGAAATAACTAGTGCTCACTCTCGCCTGGTGCGCCGTGCATGCCCCAGCCACTTTGCGCTTCGTCAGTGACGGGGCATCCGCAGAAGATGCAAGCTTGTACCAAAATGCAGGGCGAAATTCCGAGATCGTCCGTAGGAAAAATTCGTTATATCAAGGTTGTCTTCCACTGTTACTTTGTTACATAGAGGTCGCAAATACATGTGGTTCTATGGAGCAACGGTGGGGGATAGAAAAACTTCGTTATATAGAGGAATTCGTTCTATGGAAGTTAATTATAAGCAGGTTTAACTGTACATGCTGTTGGCCTATGGCAGTCCAGTAAATATTCGAAACAGTATTGCGTGTGTAAACGATGTGTGTGCATGCACGTACTTCCAGGTTTTCGTGGTCCATTGTGCGACGAGGACGTCAATGAATGTGCTGAGGAGAGTGACAGTGTGTGCTTGAATGGTGGTAGCTGTTTCAACCAACCCGGAAGCTTTGAGTGTGTCTGCCCGCCGGGATTTGGGGGACCCCACTGCGAGCAGGCTGTGGGCCCCTGCAAAGACGGCTCTCCCTGCATGCATAACAGCACTTGCCAGGAGGTTGATGGGGGCCTTAGCGGCAACTTCAACTTCACCTGCCTATGCAGTGGCGTACGCTCGGGGCGCCACTGTGAGGTCCCACGGGCATCTTGCACACACTGGAGCTGCACCCACGACACGCAGTGCAGAGCACAGCTTTGGTGCGGCTGTTTGCCTGGGTATCGAGAGGGTAAGTGACAACATTGGCAGCTCCAATTATTGTACCCTTCCTTATGTATTGCTTGACTATGCAGTCTGCCTCGGTGGAACAGTGGATACGGTACTTGGCTGCCGACCCAATGGTCGCGGGTTCAATCTGGACCACGGTAGTCACATTTCGATGAAGGTGAAATGATAGAGGTCCGTGTACTGTGCCATGTTTCTGCTCGTTAAAGGGGCCCTGCAACACTTTCTGAGCATGGTCAGGAAACGCTGCCGATCGGTAGTGAAGGCTCCTGACAACATGCGAGCCAAACACATGGGTAGAAGTGCTGCGTCAATGGCACTATTCTGCACCAATATGACCAGCTGTGACAGGATGTGCATAAACTGCAATATCAGTGATAATTGTTGATTGGAAGTGTAAATTGGCAAATATAGCCAATTATTGCTGCTGACCAAGCAACACTGAGCATTGCTACAGTACACAAAGGACGCGAACCCATCCATATCCAATGTATTTCTATCATGTAGTTTGGTTCATTGATTGGGCTTGCTACTGCTCGTCTTATCGGTGTTATCACCGTGGTTTCCCCGCAAAAGTAGTGGCACCACCTTGAATAACTGTGAGTTTTGTTGTAATACAGTGAAACCTCGATAATTTCTACATGCTGGGAATGCAGCATGGTCATGCAATAAACGGCAGTGCGCATGCTAATACAAATGTGCGCCTTCTGATGTGCGCCATTGCCACCAATAAATAAATACAGTACCACAGCAGATGCTGCTCAAAGTACCCACTCGAAAATCTTTCCTTTTTTCTTTGGAAGAAATAAGGAATAAGGAACATCACGCAGAGACAACTGCTCGACTCACGGGAGTGTTTACAAGGGCAAAAACTGGCTACGATACACGCGGAGTGGTACTTTTGCAGCCTTGCACCTGATGTGTGAAACCGAGTATAGCGGTAATGAAAGCAAGAGATAAACATCGCTTATAACTTTTTTTCTAAGTTATTTCATTGTCAACTGTGATGTTTGATGGGAACACACACACTTTTGTGGAGGTAAGTCTGATAAGCTCATTAGTCAAAACTAATCATCAAAACCATTGAAATCTTTATCACCAGTCATAATTTTGATTGACATTGACAGTGATGTTTGACCCTTGACAGCAGCTCCAAAACAAACTCAAAACACACCTTTCAAAACACACCTTGCCCTGCCGCAGTGGTCTAGTGGCTAAGGTACTCTGCTGCTGACCCGCAGGCCGCAGGATCGTTGCCCGGCTGCGGCGGCTGCATTTTAGATGGAGGCGAAAATGCTGTAGACCCTTGTGTTCAGATTTGGGTGCACATTAAAGAACCCCAGGTAGTCTAAATTTTTGGAGCCCTCCACTACGGCGTCTCTCATAAATATATGATGGTTTTGGGACGTTAAACCCCACATATCTATATCTATCAAAACACACTCTATGGTGCTTTGAACCTGCTTCAAAACTTTTCTTTTTCTGTGCCAAAGCTGCACCAAAACAGTATTATTCCTGCTCCCTGAGCTGCTCCAAAACAATAAAGTCTACTCCCACGCCTGCAAATATTATAGTGCAGCAGGCGGCCTGAAATCGACAATAAATTCTCAAAATTGGCCAAAAACTGCTTTCTCTTCTCTCGAAAAATGACTGAAGAAGTTCAAAAATCACTTGTCACAGCCGTTCTATGAGCCATTGGCTGGTTTGAACATGGCGCGCTCGGTCGTTGCAAGGATTGCCGCAGGAAGCTGCGACTTGTCTATGCGTGAGTGCGCGATTTTACTGAAAAAGCTGCATACAGTGAAATCTCGGTAGACCGAACCCCACACTAGCGAACTTTTCAGATTAACAAAGTTTCAATCTCATGCCGACTGCTAATAGTTTCAATGTAAAATTATTTCACTACTACGTACTTCAGAATATCGAACTTTTCAGAATAACGAGCATTAATTTAGTTCCGCATTATAGTAACAATGCCTCAGTACTACGAACTTATACTGTGAAATTCGTCGCGACCACCGGAGCGGTACGCAAGCAGACGACAAAGCGAACGGACGCCTTGCTTCTCGAAAAACGCGCGACGGTGTGGAGGAAAAAAAAAAAAACCGAAAGGGCGACTTTTTTTTTGTTGAAACGCCGACGTTGCAGGTTTACAAGCGAGCGCAGAGGTGAGGGCAACACGGGTGGGCAAGGTCAGCGGGGCAGAGTGGCAGTTGCGGAGCAGGAAGCATGGGCGCGGAAAACCTGAGACAGTGAGAGAGCAGAAAACGAAACGCGAAGCATTTTTTTAGCACTTTTTTTTTCTTCAAAAGAGGCGATGACAGCCGTAACGCTTCGGGTTTTTCTTTGGAGGCCTTGTTTTTTCAGTCGTGCTCATCTTTTTTCCGTGATTACTTATCGCATCCGCAAAGCAAGTCAGCGTTCACGCTGCGGTGATACTAGAAATGAGTTCATGTCTGCTTGCGACGAAGAAGCAGAAGCAGTTTTTGCTAAGTGAGACAATTGATATTCTTCGGCAACTGGAAAGCAAAAAGCAGGCTGTTGTGACCAAAAAACCGAATCGCACTACCGGAATGTGGATGAGCTGGAGGCCTTCGCGCTGCAAAGTTCGTGCTGCTCGCGTAAAAAAAAAAAAAAAAAAAAAAAACCAGACTCCTTTAAAGTAAACGTGCTTTTTTTGGTGTTTACTTGTGCATTTGTTTTTTTTTTCTCGAGAAAAATGAATTTAAGGACCCACCATTGTAAAGGTAAGTCATTTTGGTCGGTGAAAAATAAGTATTTATGGTTAATTTTCGAGCTTTCACTATAACGACCTTTCAAAGTAACGAACAAATTTCCGCGGTGCCCTGTATTCGAAGAAAAAAACAGGAATAGTGCTCAAGGTCATGAAGCACGTGTGGTGTATTTTTCTTTGCCCGTGCCATTCCTCCCTGCCTAGCTTTCAGTGCTTTCGTCCAGACGGGAGAAGAGAAAGTGTGATTGCAGTCTGCAACAAATCTTTGTAACTGCACTCGTACTGGACAGATTCCTAAAATTTTTGCAGCGGTGAATTCGTGAGGCAATTAGTTCTTTTAGTGAATCCATTTCATTGCTATTTGAAAAAGTGTTGCAGGGCCCTTTAAAAAACACCAGATGCTCAAAATTTTCGGAGCCCTCCACTGTGGTGTCTCATAACCATGTCATGGTTTTAAAACCTAAAACCCCAGATATTATTATTATTCTTGCCTCACTATAGCAGAGAGCTGGAGAACCATAATGGAAACTGTGCCAGCTTATTACCTTAAGCGACAGAGTGGCTTGAGGTACCGGGCTGATGTATAAGTCTGGGATTGTTCTGTAGGTATATTTCCCAATGAATGTGTTATCTGGCCCAATGAGGTGCAGTCGTTGTGCCATCTAGGTTATATAAAAACAACTGCTGAATACCACACTGATCTGTCTGTGGATTTTTTTATTTCTCTCATATTATTGCGTAGCACCTAAATTGGGACAGTTTACAACCACATTTTCCAGAAACAAGTTTGTGCTGCACAATCTGTGTGAGCCTCAGCGATGCTGTGCTAAAGTGTATTGTATAATGTTTCAAATTGTGCAAAGAGAGAAAAACACTACACCCTGCTGCATTTTTGCAAAAATCTCGTAATATGCACCAAGCATGTGCCAGAATGTCATGCTTGCTTTCTTTTGGAAAAAAAAAAAGAAAACTGAATATGGTTTGCAAGCCAAGTGTAAGTTACCATTGTAATTTTGAGTACCCATTGGAGCATACTGACTCCTATGCAGTTGAAGTAAGTTGCTAGGTGCAAACCTCGCCAAATATTGCAATCTGGCCATACTCCATAATGTTTTCTGCTACTAGAAGACCATACTGTGAGATTAGGTGTATCATTAAATTCAGTAACGTAGCTTCTGTTGTGGACCAAGCTAGAGAAAGGCAATGTTTGGTATAGTTACAACTTTTTGGATGACAATCTTCTGTTTGATTGATTCCATAATTAGAGTGAGCAGTATGCATATGTACTTAAATAGACTATTTCATTATACAGTTGAATCTGTTTTTGGGAGATGCGCTCTGGAGCACAGTTCGTGTTCCTTGCATGGGGCGTCTCTTATATGTTAGCATGTTTTCATTCCCTGATCAGGTTTTTTTTTTATGTTGGCAGACTGGTCTCTCTTATACCCAATTTTCTCTTACATCAGTGTCCCTTATAAAGGAATTCTACTGTAGTTAGATTGTTTCACAAAATTTCGTTGTAAAATTTGTTGTAATATCCCTCCAAAAAGTTCATGCAGGGTATTCACATCAGTCTCACCACATCATTACCTGAGCTTATGAACATTCTACATGCTACAGGAGACTGGTATTTTTATGAGAAAGCAGGGTGTCCCAGCACCCTGATTTCTGTGTTTGTTGCGGCTCGGGGTTAGCAGCATCCTATCGTTTGAACGAGTTGTTGTGACTGGGGTCCGGCTGGTCTCGTTGTAGGTAGCTGGACCCGCTGTCAGTCCCCTTCAGCCCATCTTGCAGAGAGGAAGGTGCTTTTGTCCGGAGAAATTACTGATGTTTTTTTACATTAGCACGATCTGAAAGAGAGGTTTTGCACAAAAAGTCCTCGGCATTTATAGCCCCGACTCTGCCAGCACTAAGGCACTCAAACCAGTGTGAGCAACTCTTTCCAGTAAGGTGTTCTGCCTCCACAAAGCCTCTTTAAAGGAGGTACAGTGTAAGCTCGTTCATTCAAATTTCGCAGGGGCTTTCAGTGAGTTTGAATTGAACGAAATTTTCAAATAATGAAATTCATTGAAAAACAGCAAGATATTGAGACAGGGTTGTTGGAAAATCACTCAAAATTTTTATTTCCAAAATTGTCCGTGATCACATTCTGCTTCTCTTCCTTGAATGCGATCACCATAGCCTTGTTTTACAACGTGCAAACGTGGTGGAAAGCACCCTCTTCACCTTCCTCGAAGCTGAAGAATAGGTGCGGGACACGCGTAGCCTCCATTATCTCCAAAGCTGAGGGCCGCGTCAGCGTCTCATTCTCTTCGTCATCCTCCCCTACATCGGCGACAGGCACTTCTTTGCCAGTCACGTGTACGATTATATCATTGTCGTTTTGCCACTGCTCATTTCATGTAGGATTTCTGCCTTCTCCTTCTCTTTGAGCATTTTGGTGCCCTGTTCTCTTCCGTGAGAAGTCATAGTAAGTGCGGATATGCTAGGTCAAGCAGCTGAAGGCAACACCATTCGTGCACGTACTAGTACAAAACCCTAGACATGGCACCGACTGACTTCGTAGCTCTGATGTACATGAGACCTGTGTGGCACACAAGGAACACTGAGACCACATAGACACTTTTGGCGCAAACCGCCACACAATCAGAAGAGCGAGCGCTATGATGCCAGTGGCACCACGTATTCGGGAGCTGCCTTCAGTGCTCATGCCATCTATCATAAAGCCATAAAAACTTGCTGTGCCAGTTTAAAATACTACCACGTAGCAGGACACAGTTTGCATGATCGATAGAGGAACTGATGTGCACGTGAACTAACGGGTTGGTTAACTCATAGACCTTTATATATCAGGGCTGGACCATGACCATCAGTTTGAATTTGCCCAAAAGTTTGAATTAATTAGGTGTAAATCCATCATCATCATCAGCCTGACTAAGGCCACCACAGGGCAAAGGCCTCTCCCATGATCCGCTAGTTAACCATATCTTGTGCTTTCTGCTGCCACGTTATAGTATCTGCAAACTTTTTAATCTCATCGGCCCAGCTAACTTTCTGTCTCCCTTTCGTGCGTTTGCCTTCTCTGGAAATCCAGTGAGTTACCCATAATGAACCAGTGACTACCCTGCCTACGTGCTACGTTCCCGGCCCATGTTCATTTTTTCCTCTTAATTTCAATTACGATATCTTGAACTCCAGTTTGTTTCCCTGACCCACTCTTCTTTGTTCTTGTCTATTAAGGTTACACCTATCATTTTCCTTTCTATCGCTCGCTGCGTGGTCCTCAATTTAAGCTGAACCCTCTTTGTAAGCCTCCAGGTTTCTGCTCTGTAGGTAAGTACTGGCAAGATGCAGCTGTTATATACCTTCCTCTTGACGGTTAGTGGCAGATGACCATTCATGATTTTAGAATGCTTGCTGAACGTGACCCACCCATCCTCATTTTAGTTATTTCACTCTCATGGTTTGGCTCCGCAGTTACTACCTGTCCTAAGTAGACATACAGTTGAACACGGATATGTCAAACTCGAAGGGTATCGCGAAATAGTTCGATATATGAAAAATTCGATATAAAAAAAATAGGGGTCCCGAGAACTTACCTGCAGTGGATCGTTCCCTACAATAGGCGCCTACAAAAATGACTACTCATTCCGCACACACGCTGCAACAGAAATATTTATTTGCGTGAAAAAAATTTGGTAATCTTGGTCTCTTCTTCGCTTTTGAATTGTTGAAGATGCTAATCTTGATCTTATCAAGGCTGTCCAGGTGCGACAGCTCGGTTCCCTTAATGTGGCCTATATAACGGCGAATGATGCCGAAGGCTGCTGCCACTTCAGTGCCTCGTCCGGACGATGCTCCTCGTCACATGAGCTGTCGGCCTGGACGTTGCAGTTCGCTTCCACGACGTCGTCTGCAGACACTTCGTGTGAAACTGCTGCCGGGAAGCGAGACAACAACTCGCAAAATGCATAGTCTTTGTGCTCATCGTTGTCGTTTTCACCCGTTTCTGGAAGTTTCGCCATCTTGAAGCCTGCCTTGCAGAAGCAGTTGACCACTGTGTCTGTCTTCGGGTCACGCCAGGCATTGGAGATCTCGGCGAGAGAAAACTTCGCAGGGATTTCCGGCCACTCCTTTGTCATCCACTGCTGGATTTCCTGGCTGCTGACAGCTTTGATTTCACGAGAATTGGTTTTGCCAATGAAGTTGTAGCGCCGCTTAAATCAGTGAAGCCACCTGCTGTTGTCGGCGTAGTTGTTTTACTGAGTTCAGCGGCATACCATTTGGCCTTGGCAATTGGAATCGAGCCATCCACCAGAATCTTCTTCGCACGCACTTCTAAAAACCAGGCATAGAGTGCCTTTCCTACATTCCCGTGAGCAGGAGTGCGCACATGACAGGCTCCCGAAGTTCGCTGCTCCACCGCTTTTGCCTTGATATCTGCCTCGTTTTTCAACAAGGTACCCGGAGTGCTCTGTAGTATCCCAAAGTAGTCCGTGATGGTCGAAAATTTCCCACCCGCCTCAACACGCTGAATAGGCTTCAACTTCGTCGCAAAGTCAAGGGTCTTGTGCTTCTTGACGCTGGTCATAGCTACACGATAGTCGACAATTTAAGGAGCCGCAGCGGCTTTGCACACCACGCATGCAAAAAAAAAGTGCTGCACAAGCCGGGTTACGTAGGCGCCACGACATTGGAAGCAACAAAGCGCTCGCGAGGCGATTGCTACCTGTGAGGGCAACAGCAAAACGCTGAAGCTGAAGCACACCTTTAGCTCGCGCGGCGTTTTAATATCCGAGGTGGTTAAAAATACTATTCGATATAAACGTGCAAATTTCTATGCTTTTACAAAGAAATTTCAAGGGGATAACTTGCGAGTTCGATATAGCCAAAAATTCGATATATGTGGGTTCAATATAACCGTGTTCGACTGTATTCCTTTACAACTTACAGCGTCGCTCCACCTTCCACGAAGTGCTGTTTTCTGCAGAGAATGTTACACATCACTTTAGTTTTGTGCATATTAATTTTAAGGCCTACTTTTCTGCTTTACATGTCCAGTTCTGCAATCGTGAGCTGTACTTCGTCCCCCGAGTTACTCATCAAGGCAATGCCATCAGTGAATCGCAGGTTACTAAGATACTTTCCATCAACTCTTATCCCCAACTCTTCCCAATCTAGGGCCCTAGAAACCTTTTGTAAACACGCGGTGAATACCATTGGAGAGATAGTGTCTTCCTGCCTTTTACTCATCTTTATTGCGTTTCTGTCACTTTCTTTATGGAGAACTGTGGTGGCTGTGGATTTACTGTAGATTTATTCCAGTATGTTTATGTAAAGTTCGTTGATGCCTTGATTCTGTATACAGCCTGCATTTCTGCTGATGTCTCCACGGAGTCAAATGCCTTCTCGTAATCTATGAAAGCTATGTATAGGTGTTGTTTGTATCTCACGCATTGCTCTATTACCTGATTGATAGTATGAGTATGGCCGATTGTGGAGTAGCCTGTATGAAATACTGCTTAGTCTTGTGATTGATTGAACTCCGATGTTGCCTTATTTCTATTAGCTATATTTTTGTAAATAGTTTATGGAGAACAGACAGTAAGCTGATCATTCTGTAATTTTTCAAGTCCTTGACGTATCCTTTCTTATCGATTAAAACAATGTTGGTGTTCTTACGAGATTCTGGTACCCTTCTCGTCAAGAGACACTTCGAACATAAGGTGGCCAATTTTCTAACACAATTTCTCCGCCATCTTTTAGCAGGTCCGTTGTTACCTTAGCGTCACCAGCGACCTTGCCTCTGCATTTTTTCTAGGGTTTTCCTTACTTCCCCTGTTGTTACTGGTAGGTTGTTGAATTTCTCTGGGATGTTATTGCTTCTTGAAATATTATCCTGGTTGTTTTGGCTTCTGTACAGCTCGCTGTAGAACTCCTCTGCCACCTAAACTATCCTATTCATATAACAGCCGAGTACCTTAGCCACTAAACCACCACCGTGGGGCCGAGAGGAGGAAAGAAAGAGACAATCGAAGAGAATCAAAGAAGACTGCAGAACTCCGCACTTTCTTCAGGTTCTGCACCTTTAGGACAGAGATGCTCCGCGGAGGCCTGGCGTATTTTTGTTTTAATTATGTTGCTTCGCTCAGCATTTATTCATAGGGGTCAGGGCCTCCAGTCAGGTGCATGCTTGTGTCTTTAGCCTTGACCCCTTTGGTTTCCTGTAAGAAACTATCAAGAGTGTGTGTGTGTGTGTGTGTGTGTGCGTGCATGTGTGCAAGAGAGAGAATAATCACATAGTACATTTGTTGTTTTTCTAATTAGAATGCCAGTAGTTCAGTTAAGTGAGACTGAAGTGTATGTGGCTCAATGATTTACTTGTGGCCACTGGTTTATTCATTATTTCTATTGGAAACTAAGACAAGATCAGTAGCTTGATGATTTAACAGGAATTTTTTTATGTTAAACTGCTGTAATTTTATGTGAAAATAAATTTTTTTGGTTGCCCCTTCTCAAAACACGCCCCTCCCTCTTTTTTTTTGCATTGCTTTTTTTCGTTCTTGCATCCCTGTCTTTTACGTTCCTTTTGTCTTTGACATCTATCTGTTTTACGAATATTGTCAAGATGAACCAGCTCACATAAAACAAGGTATTATTTGTTGAAATACAAAAGACTCGTATCATTAATGAAGGATTTTAGACAGAGTTGAATAGGATGCCCTATTCAATTCTGTCTTGAATCCTTCCTTTACGGTACGCATATTTTTTTGTATTTCAGTAAGTGCTATGTAGCAACCAGCCCCGGAAGAACTTTTATCTAGGTGTAGTTGTGACAAGAACTGTTTAGTGAAACGTGCAAAATAATCCATCAACAGATCCTACCTCTGGCCAGTGCGTGCGGCTGTTTAACTGCTCATCGCCTGCGAACCCGTGTTTGCACGGCGGCACATGCTACGACTCCATCCAGGCTGCACCTCATCTTACTGGAGGACAGTCATCCTACCAGTGCTTCTGTGCTGATGGCTTCCGGGGAAATAACTGCGAGCTCGCCCTCACCAGTGACCCTTGCGATATCAACCCCTGTCAGAATGGAGCCACGTAAGACCAAAATGACAGAATTTTCTGTGTTTGTTTCTTCACTTACAGGCTGTAGGGCTTAAGTGTTTGGTGGGTTTCAGCTACAAAAAATTAAAAGGTTGGTGTTGTAACACTTCAGTTGCTCCTAATATAGAAGTCGGCTCGTTTTACAGACACACAGGAGATAATAAAGCATTTAAAAACAAACTTCAGTAACAAAAAAAAGATTGCAAAGAAAGCTTGTTAACGTGCCATAACATACCTCATTAAAACGACCGTATTGTCTACAAGAATACTTTGTTTTTTTCTGGTGATTATCGACATACTAGTTGGTTATCAGTAATATAAAAAACTTTGACCACGTCTCTGCCAAAGAAATGCAGGGGTGGGAGGTTGCATTGCAACAGCAAGACGTCTCTGGCAGATTTTGATGGCTGGTTTGTATATTGCTATGATGATAATCATCGGAGCAACAATACAGTATCTTTTTCTCATATGACGCATGTCCTCGTACAACTGGAAACTCCATTTAGCACTTCAGGAGGAACAAAACCTTCTTGTGTAACCCAGAGAAATAACTGTGCACTACGCTAAAATATTTGTAGTTTCAGAAATGTACGGCTCTTTCACATTGTAACTTCAGCCAGCGACTTTGTTTCTGACCTTTATGTGGGACAATTATTGATATTCCACACAAAGTAATATTCATTTAGTGACAGTAAAATTTACTTCATAATACATCTTGGTAGGAAGCACAGCAACTATTATACGGAACACACAACACTAGCGCTTGTGTAAGTGCTTGTGTTTTGTGTCCTGTGTAATAGTTGCTGCGCTTCCTACCAAGATGGATTCATACCAACTGGCCCGATACAATTGTTTATTGAGTTACTTCATAATTTTTTATATTACTACAACCAGAGGCATGCATCATTTTTGTTGCTGTCAAGCTGGTTGGGAGTTATATATAAGTATGCTTGTGAAAGCATTGGAATGCTTCTAATATTCAAATGAAAATTACTGTATTTAAATTGGCTTCAATTCAAATTTAAGTTGTTGAAAATTTCAAAGTATTTGAAACGAACAATAGGCATTATTATTCCGCATACAACTTTCTTTTGTAAGGGTGGCTTCACTGCAGTGGAGAGGTGCTAAGCCGTGAAAACAGTTATTGAAGTGTATATTAGTATGCATGTAATGTTTTTGTAAAGATGGTTTCATCATTGTGAAGGGGTGTTGAGCCATGAAAACACCTATTCAGGGTAAATACGCACTGTTGCAGAGCCCCACTTTAAAGATAAATGAACATACTACCCTCACACCAATTCACTATTTCTTAGTTTAAAAGCTTGTACCAGATTATATGCTCTAAGTGTAGTAAAGTTTAAAATGTAACATATTTTATAGGTCATCACTTGCATTTTGCCAAAAGTCAAATTCAACTGCTATTCAAAGTTCCTTTCACTTTCCTTGAACCAAAAAGAATGGCATTTGTACCGGCCTTGTTTAAATAAAAAAAAAATTATTCAGCTCACTTAGGTTAGTTGGGTCATGATAAATAGGCCCACTTTTTTTTATAATATGGGATACATGCTATTCGGATTTGATTCCAAATGACCCGACCAAAATTACTATTCACTTCAGACCTAAAATTCACTATTGGCACAAGCCTTTATATAAGCTTTGTTATGATCTAATAAAGCAAGCAGTAATGTGTTTGGTTGTTCTTTAGGCAGTTTTCTTTCATTTGGGCCACCACATATTCAATAGGTCTGTCAATTCCATCAAGGTCAAGTTAAGAGAAGCCTACTAAATTGACCTTTTATGGTTGAGTGGTTTCTGCAAGAACCTAGTTATTGCAGAAAAACCTAGCGTCAAGAAAGACTAGCTACCGACTGTCCTCAGAATTAAAACTGGAATTGACAGTGATAAAATTTTTACTTAGAAAAATTTAACATCAAGAAAGATTATGGGTCCTGATTGCAGAGGTATGCTGCACTGCTCGTTAATTATGTTTATGGTCATGAGCATCTCAGCAGAGTTGGCAACTTGTTTTCTCATTCTCACTCTTTGCGAATGCAGCTGTCGCTCGGACCAGTGGGGGGCTGTGTGCCTCTGTCTGCCTGGGTACTCGGGGGATCTCTGCGAGCTGAAAGATGACCTGTGTGTGAGCAGCCCATGCCTCAATGGAGGAACCTGCCTTGGCCTGGTGAGTTTAGTAGGGCAGACTTGTCCCATTTGACTTGATCTCTTTAGGGTAGCATGCGAGGGTTTATTGGTCAGTTGCCAGCTTAGGAAAAGGATGACACCCCACGGGACACTAGTGGACGAAAAAAATGTTCAATTTTTGCTGTCATAACCAAGAATAGTTTCAATACTACCAGGATTACATAAAATTTCAAAGATTGTGGATTAAGTCACATTAAACAGCTACAGTAATACCTTGTTAACTCAAAGTTGTAAAAACCAATGAAAATTCCGAGATAAGTGGATTTTCGAGATAAATAAAGTTGCACAAATCGCCGAAAGAATGAGCGCTTTTTAGCAAAATCACTTCTACTTACCGCCTCTTTAACAGCGATTTTGAATGTTTCTTCTTGTGAAAAATTAAAGGAGAGAAAAATATCACACAAGACACATTAACCAGCAGGATTTTGCAGCACTGCTATTTATTCAGCGAAGAAAAACTCCCTAATGCTCGTCTGCTTTGCGGTCGTGCTCGGGCCTAGGAAGGCGTCCTCCAGCTGCTTCACGCATCACATCAGATGATCTTCCCCACCCCTGCACTTCACCTTATTTCGAAGCAAACGCAGCAAATTTCTTGTTTCTTCAAATGACGGCACCTCTCGAGGTGGTTCATCATCAATGTCGTCTCCGCGGCCATCTACGTTAGGGGCCATTTGAACGATTTCAGCGTCTGGCATTTCTCCGGTCACCGGCACATCCTGCTCACAAAGCGCACACTCCAGAAAAGTCGCGTCACTTTCGGTGGCACAGTTATCGGTAAGCTTGATGAGCTCCTAACAAAGTTCCTCACAGTTTGTGAAGTCGTCTGTCTCCGCTTCTAGCAAACTGTTGGCACGTGAAAACCCAGCGTGCGCAAAGCAGGTGACGATAGCCGCTGCGCAAACTTGCTGCCAAGCGCTGCTGAAATAATGCACTGCCCCCAGCAGCTCAATTTCGTAACCTTTGCAGTTTTCACAACACATCAAAATTCTGTGGAGCAGGCTCTTTCGGTAGATTTTTCGGGCAACTTCAATGACACCTTGGTCCATCGGTTGCAGCAGTGACGTTATGTTCGTCAGCAGAAACTCGACTGTCACTGCCTCCAAGTTGTCTATTTTGCCGTGGCCTGGGCAATTGTCAACAATGAACAGGACTTTCCTGTTTTTCTTGGCCATCTTGGTATCGATATCGTGAACATACTCTTCGAAAAGAGTTGCAGTCATCCACATCCTCGCTGCTCTATTGGCGCGATAGATAATTTGAAGCATGTAGGTTTCAAAGCTTTGCCAATTATCAGCAGCGGAAGCTTTTTTTTTGCCTGTGGCATTTGCCCCAAAAAAGACTGTCACCCGGTCTTTCCGTTGCTTCCCTCCGGAAGACGCACCACTCTTCGGAGTGAAGGAGCGGCTCGGCAACATTTTATGGAAGAGCTCTGCCTCATCCAGGTTGAAGATGTCTTTGTCGGCATAACTCTTTTGCAACTCGATATGCCGGCTGATGCGCCAATTGTCTCCAGTGGCTGCATCGACAGTGTTGCTCGCCATGCACCGATTTCGACACCACACTATTCCTTTTTTTTTTGAAGTGGTCAAACCAGCCACTGCTGCTGTTGAAATCCGTGTGCCCTATTTGCAAGGCCAGAGTGTCTGCCTTCTCCATCATCAATGTTGTGGTGACGGGGAGGTTGGCTCCTCTGGCATTTCGCAGCCACACCATCAACGCTGCTTCAACATTTGGGAACTTTGAGCCTCAAACCCGCCTTTGCTGGCTGGAGAAGTTCTGCTGATGCCCATCAAGGACCTTCTGCTTGTTCTTCAGCTTTGTCGAAAGCGTAGACAAAGGGATGCCAAACTCCTGCGCATTGATTGATTTCATTCCGCCTCCTTTCTCCACTTCCGTAATTAGGGCAACCTTCCTTTCTAGCGTGAGCGACTTGCTCTGCTTTTGTGATGCCATGCTTGGCGCACTCACGCTAAGTCGCCGCTCCTCAAAGTCAGCATTAAATCCGTACCGCGTGCATTATGCAGATTAGACTGAACAGAAAACAACGAACTCTGCCAAACGAACAAGAAAAACGATGCCGCTATGCGACTACGCCAAGCGTGCGAGGCCTGCTGCGTGGGAGTCACATGACGTGTCACAGGGTTGCTCGACAAAGTTGATATGCCGCTAGGCTCAGACTTCACAATCGCGGAAAGTATCGACGTAGTGGCAAACGCGGCTAAGTAAGAAATAAAAAGTAAAAATTTGCTGGATTTCAGGCGTAGTAGCCTCATGTAAATCTAGTGTAATGGCCCGGTGACAAAATTTCTGTTCCACTCCCACTCAAGATTTCGAGATCTCCGCAATCCAATCCAGAAATGCTTCGAGATAAAGAGAAAAAAATACATGGGACGTAACGAAGAAGGTTCGGTGCTGTGAAAAATTTCGACTTGGTCGATTTTTCGAGATATGAGAGTTCAAGCTAATGAGGTATTACTGTAGTTTTACTTTGTTTCACTTTAAGTCATTTACATTTGGGACATAATTGCTAGACTGCAATAAAGGAACTAGAAATGTGTGATGCCCTCATGCTTCCCTTGGCTTCATTTGGTTGGTTCTTTGGAGTTGATGCATTTTATTGGAGCAGTTACACAGTTGAGTCACCTCAACTGAATAAAGGCAGAGCCCAAATTGCTATTTAGTATATGTTATTGCCCTTATGAGCTATTTGTTTCTTATTAGATACACAACTTATAATATGCATGTAAGAAGGCAGTCATGGATAGTTTATGCAGATATTTTACCTATTTTATCAAGGTCAAGCACTTAAGTCAGTTGTAGTAAGCAGTTATAGGTATGTGTGTTTTTATCAGTTCATTTTATTTCAGTGTGTTAGCCAGTGTCATGGATGATCAAACCAACATTAAATTACGGCATTATATCACAAAGTAATGACACAATGAACGTCAAAACACAGTTTAGCAACCACGCTGAACAGTTGCGAGCAGCGCGAATGATGTCAATCAAAATTGAAAAGTCGCGCCTTTTGCAGCAGAGAAGCATCTGTCGAATGTAGAACAAACCTCTTTGCTTATAGCGTGACACAAGCACAGTGTCATGAAAAAAAAAACAAAAAACAAAAAACAAGTGCAATTGCACCCGTTGTGCTCACCCTGCTACAGTGCGACATGCACCTGCAGGATGCATGTGCCGTCATTCGACGCTGCATTTTTGTTTGCACGTTTGTTGTAGAGAACTTCGTTGGGGGACACCTGTTACTCAGGGCACCATCAGCTGGTACACTAGCTACACAAGCAGTTTTAAACTTATGGTACGTTGAGCATGTGCTGAAGCATGGAAACTGAGCTGGGCGATGACACTTCAGCGTCGATTCGTGCGTGTTCATTAGTGGAGAAAACAAGAATGGTTCAATGCGCATTTTGCAGGCCAAAGCAAGGACAGTTTCCCGTCATGGAGAGCAAAGTTCTAGAATAGGTTTAAAGGCTTTATTTTACAGTCTTGCCACTGGCTTGAAGGCCAACAGGGGTTAGACAGTGAGTTTAATATCATCATGTGAAATTTTTGTTGCTATAATTCCCATGACTTTTTCTCCCTCCTCATAAAGCCTCCCCCCAAATAGGTGTCAACTTTTCTGAGAATAAGGTGGGTTCATTATGCGAGTGAATATGCTAATAAGGCAATACTTGTATTACAGCCTCATAATCTGCTTCTAACACAAGCACCTGCTTTCAGGTGAATGACTTCGTTTGCAAGTGTGAAAGTGGCTGGACAGGAAAGCATTGCGAACGACAGCATGATCCCTGCCGTGGAGCTAATCCGTGTCTGCATGGCACCTGCCACACACTGTTGGGAGGCCGCTTCCACTGCCAGTGTCTGCCGGGATACTCGGGTAAGCCGTGTCAGCACCTGAGTAGTACTAAGCAAAGAGCAAGCTTGCACAAATTTGTGGCTGCCATTAGACTTAAAGTCAACACACTTTCAGCATGGTTCATGGTTAGAAAATACTGCCTATCAGTAGTCAAAGCTCCTGAGAACACATGAGCCAAACTCTATGGTGCAGTATTTGGTCTGAAATTCACAATAAATTATCGAAGTCGAGCTGGAAATCGTTCCTTCTTTTATAGATAAATGATGGCATAAACCCAAATGACCAAGCCATAAAGGTTAAGTCCAGAGTCATTGGCTGATATGAGCATCATGAGCCGCATAGTTATCGTAGTTGCTGCTAAATGCCACTGTATGCCTGCGCGCACCTCTGATCGCTGTGACAGTATGCAGTGTATTTGAAAAAAAAAAAAAAAAAGGAAGGAAAGTGCTCAAGGTCATGATGCGCACTGATGAAGGGATGCATTGTCGTGCCCCTTTGTCACCCTGGGGGGGGAAAGGGGTGATTCTTTAGAAAAAGGCTGGGAAGGTACGATGTGGAGTGCACGATTACTGTCTCTCATGTGAGGACACCTCAACCGACACACTGATACACTCATGGCGGAACGGGGAATGAAGGGACAGTTAGAGTGAAGAAAAAAAGAAAGTAGGCTAAAAAAGAAGGGAGGTGGGGGGGAGGTTTCAGAAAGCGACCGATGTGGATTGGCGTGGGCAGTCTGGTGACCTTCGCACGCTGTGTGCTTATCTGCTGCGATGTCTCTACGTCTCTACTCTCGCACTGCTCGCTCGTGAACCCCGCTCTGGCACACAGATGAGACGGGGACCTGTTGCGCACCGATAGAAAGAAAAGCAATAGGCACGCAGCAAGGGGGAGTGAGCCGAGGTAGATGAGGGGGGTCAGCAAAGTAATAAAAAAATAGAAGAGATCGAACAGGTGAGGAGGCCTAGCAAGGTGTTGGTTAGCGGGACTGCAGCGGATGAATGTAGGGGGTGTGTTTATTACAGATGAAAAGAAAAGCAATACCACAAGCAGCAAAAGGTGAAGGGGGGAGGGAGTGAGTCGAGGTGGTTGAGGGGGATTGGCAAAGTAATAAAAAACGGAAGAGATTCAATGGGTGAGGAGGCACCAGGTGACGGTTAGCGGGACTGCAGCGGATGAATGTAGAGGGTGCGTTTATTATGTGGGGGGAAAAAAAATCAAAATTTGGACGACTGAAGTTGGGGGTGCGTTTATTATGTGAGTGCGTTCATTATGTGAGTAAATACGGTATATGGTTACAGAGAAATTGATGCCATTTTGCAGTGTTCATGCTCTCACCTGTACAGTAAAATGATTTACTTTATGGTTTGAGAGTGTTCTAAATATTGACCGCTGGATTAAACTTGCTTTCTTTTCCTACTGTCTTCATTGTTGCCATTCTGCATCTAGGGGAGCTCTGTGAGAGGAGGAACGTTTGCACGGCCGACTGTATCAATGGAACCTTGTTCTGCCATGAACCGAGTTGGCAGTGTAACTGCCAGCATGGCGGAGAGACATGTGGAAGGAATGCAGTTGTGTCGGCTGCTCCCAGTCCCTGCAGTTCACGGCCGTGTGCAAACAATGCCACCTGCCGCCTCAGTGAACTGGAGCCCCTGGGCTACGTCTGCGCCTGCCCTCTGGGGCTGGTGGGCAATCACTGTGAACACGATGTGGACGAGTGTGTGGGTCATAAGTGTCCCAATGGAATGCAGTGCATAGACAAGTTGCGGGGATATGAGTGCAGGTGAGTGCAGTGTGATGAGCGAAGTATATTTCAACGATGACTAGTAGTCTAGTCATCAGTAAAATATGGGATCTTAGTGTTTCATATCCCTTGTGTCACTTTTGAATGTTGTAGAGGAGGGTTTTGTCTCTAGTGAAAGCAGCTCGAAATCTGGTGAGCATAAAGCGAGTGAGACCGCGGCATACTCGCTTCTTGCTTATAGAAACACGTAAGTCATGAAAAGATTTTTTTTTTATTATTTATCTAAATTGAATGAAACTTTGAACACTTATTCAGTTTCTTCTGCAGATTCTAAATCTCTCAAGTGGATTTTCAATAGCTGCATAAGAACAAAAGATATAACTTTTTATAATACACAATTAACATATTTCTTACGGGGCTTTTCGTCAATTTCGCCATGTCAAACAGAAAAATAAAGTGTATATTCAGATTGCCAAAGAGCTCGTCTAGCTGGTGATGCTAATTTTATTGTTTTCAACAAACTTCAAATGTGAAATAAATAGATACAAACATGAGTGAAAAATTTCTGCCACATATTGTTTATAATCATCATGAAATACAATTCGGTGAACAACATATAGAAGAAATGAATAGCATCACCGCCTAGATCTATTCAATATGAACACATTGGTATCAAAATTGTTATTGTGAGTCAATAAAAACATGTCAAAATGCCCCATAATACTATGTGTTGCGTCCAAAAACATGAAATTTATAAAAATGCCTTTGAAGTTTTACTTTCCCATAAATTGATGTGGTATTGCAACATAACTGTATAAATGGCATTATTAAGTAGCTTTGCCCTTCAGGAACAAGATGTCATATATGTTACAACAATATCACAGGAACCATGAAAAATTTTCTGTGTTAGCATGCATAGTCCTTGAAAATAGTGCAGGAAAGCTGCTACCAAACATTTCACTGTTGTATTTGAGCTTGTATGTGTACATTGTGCATAAAAATGACATGCTTATGTGGTCTTTGCTGTCGCTATTTGCACCAAGGTCTCGGTCACAAAAATCACACAGCTGACCAGGGCTGTAGGCAGTGTCCACTGTTGGCTTGTGCCTATTCATGAGCTTGGTTTTCGCAGCATTCCAGCTGCATGGTCCTTGTTGCATATATAAATGATGTTATTGATGAATCTCCAGTCTCCCTCAGTGAAACAAATCGCTTATCGCGCATGCCGCGCTTTGAGCATGTCATCAGGAGTTTCACCTTAAAGTCGTCTTTTATTTTCTCCTTAACACTGTCGCCACTGTCAACGCTAATCATAAGTTCCACTGTTACTAGAGTTCCCCTGTTCCGTGTCGACACCGAGTAGGTCAAATTTTTGTTCAGTTTCCGACTTGATGCCTAGTGCTTTTTCATGTCGGCCGCTCTTGCTGCACGCTGGCTATTTTTCTTTGGCCAATAAGAAACGTTATCAACGCGTTCCCTCATAACACTCCAGGCTTGGGCCAACAAAATATACACACTACAGTAGACTCCTTTTAATTAAAACCTGAAGGGACCAGGAAAATGTGTTTCCTTTAAGAGGAGTTTCATTTATTGAGAGATAAACAGGGGTATAATATTCAAGTACGAAACCAAACATATTATGGGCAGTTGTTCCATTTAAGCAGCAATTTCATTTAAGAGAGTTTCGTTTAATAGGAGTCTACTGTATAGTAAAATCTAGGTATAACGAACTTCAGGGGACCATGACAATTTCTTTGTTATTTTGAAAGGTTGTTATAAAGAAAGCCCAAAATTTAGCCATGAATAATTATTTTCCACTGACCAAAATAACTTATCTTTACAATGGTGGTTTCTTTAATTTGTTTTTCACGATAAAAAAAAAAATGCACGAGTGAACACCAAAAATGCATGTTTCCCTAAAGAAGTCTAGGATTTGTTTTTTTTTTTTTTTGACGCGTGCAGCATGAATTTTGCAGCGTGAAGGCCTCCATCTCATCCACATTCTCCACTTTCATAGCGAAAACTACTTCCACTTATTTTTCGCAAGCAGAGATGAACTCATTGTAGTAGCACTGCAGCGGGAACACCGACTTGCTTTGTGGACGCAATAAGTAATCGCAGAAAAGATGAACACGACTGACAAGGCCTCCTCAGAGAACACCTATACCCCTTTGGCCTTCTAGATAACATGTATAAGTGACAAATATAAGAAAAACTCGATGTGTAGCAGCTGTCATCGCCTCTTTTGAAGAAAAGAAAGAGCTAAAACAGAAAACTTCTCGCATTTCGTTTTCTGCTTCTCTCGCTGTCTCAGGTTTTCCGTGCCCTTGCTTCTTGCTCTGCAACTCCCTCTCTGCCCTCTGCCTTCATGACCTTGCCCTCCTGTGTTGCCCTAGCTCCTTGCCTCGGTGCTTGTAAACCTGCAACATCGGCGTTTCAATAAAAAGAAAGAAAAGAAAGTCGTCCTTTCGTTTTTTTTTCCTCCACGTCACTACGCGTTCGTTCGCTAAGTTGTCTGCTTGGGAACCGCTCTGGTGGTCACGACGGATTTCAGAACATGAGTTTGTAGTACTGAGGCATTGTTAATATAACGCGGAACTGAATTAGCACTTGTTATTCTGAAAAGTTCGGTATTCTAAAGTATGTAGTAGTGAAATAATTTTGCATTGAAACTATTAGCAGCCGGTGCGGGATTTTTCAAAAGTTTGTTAATCTGTAAAGTTCGTTAAAGTGGTGTTCGTTCTACAAAGGTTTTACTGTACACGGGCCAAGTTGTGTTTTCATACACAAACCGCCAACCGACGATCCCCAATGCGTTCCGCGGCAGCACTAGAGGCATAGCTGAACGAAGCGCACGCGCTCGATGTAGTGTGCTGCGGCGCTGTATTTGATGCGTCAGTGGGCAATTCCATAATTATGGTGAGTTTCGTGCTGGCATTCGAGGCGTCCACGCTGGATGCAGCTGCGTGTTCAATCCGTCCAGTGGCTATTGTGGGACATGCCTCGCCGAATGTTGTCAGGCATTCCATGGTCGTCGTCGTTTCTTGCCGCATACGCAGCATGTAGTTTGCTTCAGACGAATGTCTTTGGACATTTGGGCAGCTCAGTAGTCACAGTAGTTCAAAGGTGGTAGCAAAGTTGCGAACCTGAAGAACGTCGTGGAGCAGCCGAAAGCCTGAGCCGAGCGAATGTGCAGTTGCAACGAGAGAGTGGGCAAAAAAAAAAAAAGCAAAACAAACGCGGTGGACCGATAGGAGGACAGCGCGCAAAGCGAGCACGCGCTTTGACCAATCACGCACGTGCAAGCGACCTTTGGAAAAGGAGTGGTAGCGTCAATCTTGCTGCACCGGTGGCATTTTGAAAATAGGGAAAAGATGCACAAAGAAAGCAGCTTCAAAACAACACCAAGGTAGCAGCACCCGGTCGCCGAGTTTAGAAGTTACGAGCATGCGAACTTCGAACATATTTAGCCAATTTTCAGCCATTTCGCATCTACCTACATATGTAAGATGCTGTTTTTTTATGTATTTCTCGATCGAATACAGCTTTGAGATTTCACGGAGAGATTTAGAAATGTTTGAACTTCGAGATACTGCTATTTTTCAAAAATCCACTTTGAGCGATTTTTCGACATTTCAAGACACGCGTCTCACCTTATGGGAGGAATGGGGTATAAACAGCCATAATGTAAATCACTTGTGGTTATATGCTCATGGTTCAGAAATTGTGCTTTTTGGCAGCTCAGTATTATTTCGAGGTAAGAACAGTGGTGTGAAATTGGTAAAGCATTCATGACAGTGCATAAATAAGCAGTGTCATAATTTTGCTCATTTTGAAACGGTTATGAATACAGTCGAATCTCATTAATTCGAACGTGCCTAATTCGAACTTTCAGTCAATTTGAACCGACGCTGTGGTCCCGTCAAAGCTATGTGCAATTCAATGGGCTAAAACACCCTGTAATTCGAACTCGCAAGCACTTGCGACGGTTCATTCGAACATACCGTGCTCCGAAAATGCTCTCAGCACTACGCCCGATCCCACGTGGCACCTCCAACACCTCAATGCTGCGCGCAAAAAAAGAAAAGAAGAAAAGGAAAGAAAGGACTGCGGCAGAATGTTTGCTCTTTCCCTAATGCCGATTTGCGATGCGCCACTGCCACGCTTCCCCCTTTTCTGTCCCTGCCACGTTGAGCCCCTTCTCCTTTCAACATCGCACCCGAAGAGAGCAAAAAAAAAAAAATTATAAGCTGCCGCAAAGTGTTAGCTCTGCGGATCTGCTTCTCTCCACATGGAGATGCTCCTTCTTTCTCGTCATGTGCTGGCCACGCTCTGGCTGCGGCGCAGAGGGTATAGCAGCAGAGACGCACTCGTTGTCGTCTTTAGTGAGCGGTGGTGCTGGACATTGCCGTGCTCAACTTCTCTTGCCTGGAGAAGGCTGAAGCCAAAGCAGAAATGCTTTGCAAACAGTGTGCGAAATTGATTGATTCTCTGCAAGGCAAATGCGTGAAAATGCGCATCACCGATTACTGCACTTAATGACCGATGTCCTGTGATTTGTGAATAAATGCAAATCTTCTGAAAATTCCCCCTCATGTGTTAGTTTAATGCACATGCGCCACTGCATGGTGAGCCCTCCGTTCATTTAGCTTTCATTAACTCGAACTTCTTTTAATTTGAACAAATTTTCGGGCCCCTTCGAGTTCGAATTATTGGGATTCAACTGTACTATAGATGATGTGATTCAAATTTTGCATTGGGTTCGACTGTCTGATTCTTCTGTCAGCTTGTAGGCCTTCAACTTTCTTTATATTAACCATTGTTGTTTCTACAGTCTCCACTAACTAGCATAGCATGCAGCCAAAATGTAAAACGTGTCTGCCCTGTTGGCTTGAGCAACTGGGGTTTTTTCTTGGTCTAGATACCTTATTTACTTGCATAATTTGCGCACTTTTTTTTCACGATTTCGGGGCCCTGAGTTACGTGGCGATTTCGCGAGTGCATACGAAATGTGTCACAATCCTAACATGCGCAGTATATACATTTAAAAAAGAAGAAATAAGTTGGAGCACAAACGAAGTGTACTTGTTAAATTTAAAAGAATTAGTGCGTACTTTAACCAGTCAGATCCGGTCACGCGTGCTCTAGCGGGATTCGTTGATCGCAAAGTCTGATTGGGATTATTGTCGCGGCCGCTGCCACCACCCTAAGGCACGGTGCTTGGCTAGTTGGTTGGGGCTCATCATTTATAAGGGTACAGGGCACCACGACAAGGACAAAAAAAGAGACACACATACGCACAGCGCCCTGCCGAAGCGCATCGTCCTCGATTCCGTCGTGCACTTTTGAACGCCCCATTTTCCAGAAGCTCTTTGAACAATGCCAGGAGAAACTGGGTCACACGACACAGCGATACTGCAAGAACTAAGCATCTGTACACAATTGAGAAGGCCTTCTTGAATGGCAGGAAACTTGTATTAGCAAGCAAGCGCACTCTTCTGCTTTCTATACTGATCGTGCCGGTAATCACGTTGAAGTATGCCCCCTTGAAGTGCTTTTCAATGGCGTGCTTTCCGCTTTCTTTGTCGAAATTTACTACAGTGAGCTTCAATTTCGCCGTATATTTAATTATTGTAGCACATCGCAAGGAACCCGTCAAGACGCGTCGTCTGGATTGTGAAACCTAAACTTCCGAAATCGACCAAGCGTGCATTGCAGTGGGGACAGTTGGCGCACGCCTCCGATGCAGAAAGTCGCCCTTGCCATGAAGTTAGCGTACATTCTCGCCATTGTCGCGGTGGTAGATTTCGGGAGATAGGAGGGGGGGGGGGGGGGGGCAAATGCTCGAGCAGTTTCGGCAACCCATCCACAGGTTTTCGTTCGGGTGCGCTGTTCTAGAGACCCTATATTATATTTCGGGGTAAGTCCTCGGAAGAAGGAACTTCGCACTCGCAGCCTGTTTGACTGTGCCCGTCTGCTCGGCGAGGTGCACACCCGGCCAAAGCATCAAAATGTTCAAAGGTGCACGCGCAGGCGAGCTGGCTTGGGCAGGTCGGGGAGCGTGATATATGTGAGTAAATATTTTTTTCCCGAAAATATGGCAAAGTATTAGGGATGCGCAAATTATGCGAGGGCACAAATTATGCGTGTAAATGGTGTAAGTGCACAATTTATCAAGTGCCATTATTGAGTAGAAAGGCGTGAAAAAGGGATATACCGTTTTGCATACTTTTGCCTCAGCTTTTAGGCTCTTCATATAGTGCATATTATAGATAATATTGTGAGTTTAATGTAAACTCATATGTCAACTTTATGAAAGGAGTGGAATTCTTGAGAAAAGAAATTGTTATGAGCATTTCACCATTACTACTCTGTGCACGTAGCTCCTCGATTTCAGCCATCAGTATTATTGGCAAAATGATAATAGAAGTACACCAGCTGCCGAGTATTGCAAAATTAAGAGAAAAAAAAAAAGAAAAAATTGAGACTGGTGCAAAGTTAGGGGAGCAGCTTCAGCCCGATAAAGCTATCTGTGCTGAACGCTAAAGGCCATTTATACTGCTCTGTGGCCAGTGTAGTATTTGTTTGACAAAAGCAGATGATAGAAAGGAGGGATGTGCAGATGTGCACTTGCTGGAATGCTGAAGTTTCGATTTCTTTCTTTTTTTTTTCACAAGTGTGTCTGCAGGCTCAGTTTGTGGATAGCAGCTTCTAGCTCTTGTTCAACATGACTTCACAAACCCTGTCAATTGTGCAGGTGCTCGGACTCTCGGGGCGTATGTGGAAGCTTAGCTCAAGGCTGTCAAACAAATCCGTGCGTGACTGCCGGCTCAGTGTGCCAAGAAACGGATGAATTGGGCAGCTTCCACTGTGAGTGCCCGCGTGGATACCAGGGCTCGCGATGCTCAGAAGACGTGGATGAGTGTGCAGCACACATCTGTGAACATGACGGCCTCTGCCGCAACAAGCCAGGAAAGTTTGAGTGCTTCTGTCGGCCAGGATACACGGGAACTCGCTGCCACATTGAGGTGCGCATCTTTTTGCTATGTTAGTCTTGTTCAGATGTCATTCTTTTGTGAAAGCTTCAAAAGGATTTTAGATGAACAGTAGCTCATAAAGAATTGGCATTATTTGATGCATTTTTGGTATTTTGATGCTGTAGTGGACATCTATGATCTGGCCAAAAGGGAGTTTTGCGAGGGGGTCACTAGCATTGTCTAGAACTGGTTTCTCCGTGCAGTCGCTGCTGAGAGTGAAGAAGAATGGCTAGGAGCCTTGAAGTGAAAACAAGAAAAAAAATAAAAATAAAAGCCAGTTGTCTAGTTGTGAGTCACTCTGAGGAGTCGTCTCACTATTCTCCTCCACATGCCTGCATCTCAACAGTTGCATTCTGAGCAAACCATTTAGACTTTTTTCTTGCACTTGAAAATCTGCAGATTGTAGTGTCTCTTTTCATGTATGCAGGCACAGGTGTCTTAAATTTACGCTTTGTTTTTTGGCCTTAGTGGTTAGTGTAAAATGCTACATGTCTTTTCAGGTTTCACTGCAAGTTGTCAGTATGCAGCCATCGTAGCATTCCTATGTTTTTTACTTTTTGGTCACCTGCTTCTCATTGCTGCTTTTCAGTTACAAAATTCTCTATAAATACACTCTTTGTAGAAAAATGTGCAAAGAGTGTTCAGTTAACTGTGTGCTGAGTTAACTTCGATAACTTGCAGCTTCAGCTATTGTGTTACAAGTCGAGCTACTTCCCAGTACATTTCATCTGCTGTTGTGTATTTATTGTGACATGAAGGAACAATTTTCAATAGTGCGCACATGCAAGTATAGCATACTCTGCTAGAAAGAAGTGATTGTTTCAAGCTTGGAAGTGAACCTCCCTGAAATGTAAACTGGGTTGCAGCTTGGTCTGACTTCTTCAGTTTTCTGACACAGTTTTCTGGCCTTGTGTGGTGCAGGTAAATGAGTGCCTCTCACAGCCATGTTTCAATGGAGCGACCTGTGTAGATGGGGTAAACGAGTACAAGTGCATCTGCCCTGGTGGCTATCTGGGCGACCACTGCGAGATAGACTTCAACGAGTGTGCCTCCAGTCCCTGCATGCACGGTGCTACGTGCCTGGACCAGGTGAGTTTTCAATAACTCTGTTATGGGCTATAAAAACAAAGAATATGGTAATATTCCAAACTATTCATTAATGAGTTGTAAAGTGTTCTGTTCAATTCGGTACTCAAACTAAATAGCACTTGTAGTGTACATGTATTGTGAAGGATTACGGCCACTAGCGTGAGTCCGGTCTCTGCAAGCTGCTGGGCACGCATTAACCATCATCGTGGTGCGAACACGGTACGGTTCAAGGTCGCAACACTTTATTGTCTGTGGCAACACCAAAACGCAGTACAGCCCATTACAAAAGGAGCGGCAGGAAAGTAAATGGGCTTATTCACGCCACGGGTGAGAAGTACTTCACAGGGGTGCCGAGAGAAAGTCTCCGTGGCCAAAAGTGATTCACGCTGACATCAGGATAAAGGGCCCGGTCGCTCGAGCGAGGGCAAAATGCACTCGCATTGGCTTCGGAGAGGTACGGGTCGGCGTAGTTTGACCGCGCTCTAGGACACCGCACCGCTCTTCGGCCTAGCGTTCGCAAGGGACAACAAAGGTGAGCATTCACCGCGGGCGCAGGGCATTGTTAGCGAAGTCTGACAAGCCCCGAACACGAGGAGCCGACAGGCGGAAAAGAAATGCGTGCTCACCATAAGTCGTCTCGGAAAAATCTGACTCACGGCCAACACGCGCGCAAAACGTCCCGAGAGAATTTGCGCACGGCGCCACGGTCGACATCCGCTACCGGGTGAGAGGGTTTAAACGTCGCTCCCCGCTCCCTTTAGCGCGGCAGACCGTAGAGACGGGGAGTCATGTCGGGACGTGAGAGTGGCAGAAAGAGGCGGCAAAGCCCTTGCAACGGTGGTGGGCTAGCCTTGATTCCCACACCCCGCTCTCCTAAATTTGCCCTCTACCGGTCTGCAAAGGCAGCTGGACGTCACCCATGCAGTTAAAATGACACTGCTATGAGCAACAGCTAACCTTAGTCCAGCCCTGTACCTGCTGCTAAAAAAATGATGACAGATGATAACAATAATAATAAAATAAGCTCATGACATGTTTGCAAAAAAAAAGAGCAAAGGGAGTAAGGATAGAGTTCGGGGTGCTGAGGCGGGATAGCGTCCACCGCGTGGAGGGGCGGAATAGCGTGACAATGTCCACTGTGTGCGATGCCTGTGTGCGAGGTCAGAGGCACAGATGAGGCTCACTGATGGCTCATGGCTCACGACGACAATTGGACTGCGAGTTGATGAACGCCGCTACAGTGGTGGTTTAGACGTCCCTCATTTCTCAATGGATGACTGGGGAACCTTGCGGGGAAGCCAGGCCTCTCCAGGGATCAGCGAGGCTGAACCGAAATTGGCTGCCAGGCATCCTTGCGGTGGCAGGCAGCTAATAGCTGCTGTCAGCTGGCCTCACGCAGGAGCCAAGGTGGAAGGGGCAGCAGGGCTTCTCGGGGACGGCCGAGAGCAGAGCACAGCCGGACTGTCCGACGTCAGCAAGTCAGGGCTTCGAGCAGCTCCAGTTTCCACATCGATGGGTCGAAGGCACAAAGCGTCCTTCGTCCCTCTCTCCACGCATAAGCACCAACGTTCAAGTTCAAAACTTCCTTCGCCGGTAGAGGAAATGCAGCACAAAAAGTGTTTAACAGAGCAAAACCACACTCAATATCTGGCCAAAAGAAAATAAAAACATAAAATGCAAATGAACACTTAATACTAGACAAAGGAACCTAAAAAACATAAAATACACGTGAACACTTGAAAAAAAAAAAAAAAAAACTCTGGCAGAAAACTGGGTGGGGTCGACTTCTTTATGAGAACAGGTTGTAAAGAAGCTAACCTATACTGAGGCTAGACAGTAAACTGAGGGCCTTCGATTGTGGAGAAGTCCGTCGTCCAGCGCGAAATCACAAAGGTGACCGCTTTCTCAATTATACCGGTGCAGGGTCCGAATGCGGTTCGCCGCCCCAAGTGTGCCCCGTTGCTTGCGCATGCTCTTGAGACCGTGATATATAGGGTTTCAGGTCTGCGATATAGGCACGGCTGAGTTTTCTCGAATAGGGATCTTTTAGCTAGTACAGGAGTGGGGTCCAAGCTTCCTTCATTCGGTGTGAACCAAGCCTTTTAGGAGCGAACGAGGCTAAGAACCCCTTACTGGCATAGCTAAGAGCGCGGTTACGCTTCAGGACAAGATCGCCCACTTCAAAAACTAGGTCGCGACGCTTGCGGTCATATTGAACCTTTTGCTGAACCCTGGCCGACGCCAAACTTCGCTTTGCTTTGCAGAAAGCTCGACAAAGCCTGTCCCGAAGTGTCGACGCGTAAGCAGAGCAGTCTGCCTGCATCGCTTCATCCTCGAGCTGGCATTGAAGGACCCTAGTCACCGGATTTGCCAACTCCCTTTCAAAACTTAAGAACACGGGCGAGAAACCAGTTGAGCGACTCTCGGATGTTCGAATAGCGAATGCAAGCTCACTCAAATAGTCTGCCCAGTCCCTTTGACTTGCGGCAAAGGCTGCCAACATCGGTTTGAGCGTACAATTGACACGCTCCTTCACATTTGACTAGGGATGGTAGGATGAAGTGGTGCAGTGATCGATTCCGACGTAATGGCATGTGTCACCAAACACCCGAGCCGTGAAATACGAAGCATTGTCCGTGATAAGCCTTTCTGGGAAGCCGAACGAGCAAAACACTTCCTGCAGCTTTTCAAGCATCGCTCGCATTGTCACCTTTCGAAAAGGAGACAATTCCACTCACTTCGAAAAGAGGTCGACTACTATCAGGTGAATGAACCCCTGCTTACTTCTAGGAAATAGTCCCATTACAGTCAATCCCGAATATATCGAACTTGAAGGGGGATCACGAAATAGTTTGATATATCGAGAATTCGAAATACAAATATGCATATTTAAGGCCTAAATTGAAGAATTTCAGTTCTCTGAAATCGTTACCAGAGCTAAGATAATGATTCGCTCAAAAACAAGGTGCAGGTTACTGCACTTTATTCAGTCCGTAAACTTGTCTTGCTTTTTGCGTTCTGTCAAGTTTAGTCATCCTTAATATCATTGAAGCTTTTCAAATAAGCGAACTTAGCTCCTTCATATACAACGTTGATTGATGCAGAATGCCGATATTAGCTTTGTAGCGCGGCAAAAGCATGGTTAGCGGTGGCAGCAAAAGCGTTTTTATACACGCACGAGTACACTTATGCAGCACCGGCAACGGCATCCAAAATCTCAGCATTGATGCAGTCAGAAACAGCAACATTGTCATCTACACCGATGAAGTCGCTACTGTTCCAGATGGCGCCCGGAAATGCTGATAAGTTGCAGAATTTACTGAGGCGCCGTACGGCGTTGTTAGTGGTCTTGACGCACCCGAAGTCGTCACCTGGCGCGCAAGGAACGTTTACGACACAGTGTTTTTCTTCATGTCGCTTTAAGCGCTAGTCATAATTTTTATCGCTTTGTGCGAGTGAACGTTGAGTTAAACTCCCGAATGAGGATTCATCATAAATGAGGCGAGAAGTGCTCAAGACCACAAGGCGCAAGAGACACAACACAGAGTTCGTCCGAGTTCTCACCGTCGACATTTTGGTGATATCGATGTCACTATAGCTTTTAGCTGGCAGTCGCTGCTTTTAGCAGCTTTGATGCAAAAAGATAAAAAAAAAGCGTAGCCTCCGTGACACTTTGAGCGTGACGCGGCATTCATTCGCTGTATCGCGAAGTTTGTAGTAAATGAAACACAGCTTTTAAAGAAGTTGAGTGAAAACGCAAACGTTTCTTGCCCCAAAAAGTCCGTTATGCACGTGTTTCGAAGAGCAGAAGCAATAAGGGCGGTCTCGAGTTCATTTGAAACGGCAGGGTGCTCGTTCGCTGAGGCCCGTAGCATAAGCTGCATGAGGCACTGGCTCCAAAGTTTCGTCGTTCTTGCTATCCGATTCCTCCAAATCGCTCTCCCCACGTACTTCATTCACAATGCCCCAATTCGTGCACGGTTTCGCAGTGTTGGCGTTTAATTTACTACGAACTTCGGGATACAGCGAACGGATGCCGCTTCACGCTCAGGATCGTTTTAAGCGGGCTCGACCATTTCAGAATAACGAACTTTTAGAAAGTCCCTGTCAATTTTTTTATGCATTCTATGTGAAAATCTTTCAGTGAAACGAACTTCAGAATAGGGAATTCTTCAGTTAAACAAACATGATCCATGGACCCAGCCTTATTTTTAAAATCAATTAAACGAACTTTTGTGCACTGCAGCATTGGCATAGCCGATGCAAGCCGCCACTAAATCGCCCATCCATCAGCGGCAGCGCGACATCGCTTGTGCATGCAGCGTGGCCACGGCAAAGCGGCTGTGTGGGTGACGAAAACGAGTCACGTGCGCATCAGTTCGCCGGCGCCACTTCTTTTTCGTCTGTCTCATCGGCATCCATTGGCACCATCTTTATTTTGGGAAACAGCGCCTTTCACGTGCGATGTGCCCACTTTCGCAATGAGTACGATGAAATGCAAGCGGTTGACTCTGTCAGACAAGCTCAAAATCCTTCAGTGTCTTGAGAGCAGGCAAAGACAAGTGGGCATTGCGAACAAATATGGAATTGCACCGTCGACGTTGTCAACGGTAGTCAAGCAAAAATCGAAGCTCGAAGAAGAAACTTCGGTCAATCCTACCAGGACCAGGAAACAACTCTGCACGGGACATTTCAAGGCAGTGGGTTGCGGTATGGCTCAATGACCTGCGATTCCAAAACATACCTGTGTCCGGCCCGATGATACAGTGCAAAGCGAAGAAATTCGCTGTGCACTGTATCGTTCGTGGCTTCGAAGCAAGTAGCGGATGGCTTACCCGATTTCAAGATAAGCATGGGATCGCGTGGAAAACGATTTGGGGTGAAAGCAAGGATGCTGATCATGAAGCGGCGAGAACCTGAAGGGATGAAAAACTATGGGATATTATTAGTGCATATTTACCCGATAACATTTACGATGCCGATGAAACTGGAATGTTTTA